GGAGGGAGGGGAAGGGTGGAGGCTGGAGAAATTAGCATGTTAATGAGCTTGAATTAGTAAATGAAAATAGCACGGGTGTAAGAGTGAGAATCACAGCAGTTAAAACTTGACGTGATTTATCACGTTCTTACAATGATTGCTCAATCTGAATCCATCTTCTCGATTAAAGCTTTGTGTTTGTATATCTGGATGGCTTCATGAACAAATCTCTGATGGTAGCCCGAGGGTTTGCAGAGCACCTTGGTCTCGGAAAAAACAATGTCATGTGTGCCCAGAGTTGAAACAATGATCCGCCACTGCCGAGGTGTTGGTATACCGTGTTTCAAATCCGCTGTGTTCGCGAACCCGGTCTGAGACATGTCGCTTAATTTCACCAATGTAACTGCTACCGCAGACACAACTCAGCTTATAGATACCAGGACATGGCATGTCCGGAATCGCATCCTTCACCGATGGGATCAAATCACGGATTTTGTGTACTGTATTGAACCGAACTTGGATCTTGTGTTTGTTGAAGATCTTGGAAATCCTTTTGGTTACCCCTGCTATGTATGGCAAGGTGATGGCTTTGATTGGATCCTCAGATGGTTCTCTACCCATGGTTGGGGATGCAGCTTTGTGGATTGTGCCGTGAGAATATCCATTCCTCCTGAGAGCCTGGTGTACGTGCTCAAGCTCACTGGCTAGGTGGAGCTGGTCGGAGATGCAACGAGCCCTATGGTGTAGTGTTTTGATGAGGGTATTCTTCTGGGCTGGATGGTGGTGGGAGTCGGGCTTTAGATAGGAATCCGTGTGGGTGGCTTTCCTATAGACAGTGTCCCAACGAGCCATCAGGTCTCTTCTCGATCAAAACATTCAGGAATGGTAGCTTGCCATCATTTTCCACTTCCATGGTGAATACGGGTATCTTTCCTGACAATTTTTTAGAAACTTTGTATTTTACCAGGTAAGGCCCACTGACCTATATAACTTTTTCAGAAGCAACCTGGCCACAAATGAGAGCTCAACGCATGAAAATCTCTAGCAGCCAAATACTCTAAACGCATGTTAATTGTAAAATGCGAAGGGAAAAACCAGAGGATCCAGAGAAAAATCCACGAGACCATGGGGGGAACACGCAAACACCAAATATACAGGCGTCCGGGTCGGGATCGAACCCACGACCTCCTGTATATCCGGTGAGGTAGTTAACATCTCGCCACCATTGGCACCCCAAGGCCATGAATGAGAATGTTTACCCAAGTTGAACGAGAGTGTTTCGCCACCCTGCCGCTAGCCTCGCCTACAGCAAGAAAGCCCCGAGATCCGGCACGATGGCCGATAAAATTAATGTGTGCACAACTCATCGACCACGTGGAGGTGAAGCGGGGCTTGGAAAACGCCGAGGTGGCGCGGCAAGACAACGGGGAGCGCGTCCCCTGAAACCCCCCCCCCCCCCAACACCACCTGCTTGTACAGGGACACGGCGGAGCGTTGCGCAGCCACAGGCCACTTGGCACGAAACACGACAGCGACGGATGAGTTACAATACTTTTATTTTACATTGAGGATAATTGGGGGAGGCGTGGGCAGAAAACCTTTTTTTTGTAAAAACGATACGCTACAGTCATCTGCCTATGAAAAAATCTGCCTTTCAAATATTCACATCTTCAAAAAAAAACAACTTGAAAATTGTAAAGTCTAACTTTTAGAAACAAAAAAAAATATCTTAAGGAAATGTCGATTCACATTTGTCACAAGTAGGAAGAACGCAGGAAGAGGCTCGGAGGAGGCGAGTGTTGGGTGAGTGTGTACGAGTGTTGGGTGAGTGTGTACGAGTGTTGGGTGAGTGTGTGAGACGGGGGCCCCGACACACGTGACGGCCAAGCTCAGGCCACGCGGGGGGGGGGGGGGGGCATCTCAGGCCCCTCACGGCGGAAGCTTAAATACGATGAGTGGTTTCACGTTAAGAATAATAAAAACCCGCACAAAATTACAACGGACAAATCCCTAACCCTCGATACGAACACCACTTGTTTGTTGTTGTTTATTGTAAGGGTGAGTGGCGCTCGTGTAGAAAAAAAAAACCGTACAAATTAAAAATGTATAAAAACGCCACCACGCTCTCGTTTCCCTCGTACGGACAGTGCTGGGGACGAGAGCTCGTCGTACCGACTCCACGACCGAGCCGTAAGAGCCTCGTCATGGGCAGCCCCCCACCCGTGCCTCCCCCCCTCCACAGCCACAGCTTCATTGCCCCACTCCTCTCGTTGGGTGATGCATGTTCACATAAACTACGAACGCTAGTACAGCTAATGTCCAAGGGTTGTTATTGGGAAGATGTTTAAATAACATTTACCCATTACCGGTGCATTGCTCTTTGGGAATGTATGAAAATTAAAAATCCGTGTTTTCAATTTTAACGTTGCTTCTCGATGAGCAGCTAACTAATAAAAAGAACAGCGACTAATAAAAATACAACTGAAAGGATGAACTGAAAATCCGCGACCGTCAGAGTCTACACCACCGCTTGCCATGCGATTAATGCTGCGATTATTCCGTTGTGGTCTTTCATAAGGTACAGACGATAGGAACTGATGGGACATCTTTTCCAAAGATTAGGAAACATAAGAATGCGAGTAAAAATGTCAACAAGTTAATTATTTTTCTCAATGCTTCAGGATTGAAAAAGGTTGCATTAATATTTGTAATTTCTGCAAGAAACGCAAATAAAAAAATATATGGCAATGCTGAATTCTATCACTGGCCCCTTGTGAATCTGGTTACGTCACAAGAGCAAAACAACAGCATCTGAAGTAAATTGATTGGTATGGAATTTGACCTGCCATCATTGTCGGACTCGCAGTTGAATCAGCATTACCAGCTTGTACAGAGGTCTAGGAACCCAAATTCAACATCCGTGAACAGTCCCATTCCAAAAAAACATGTATTTCGTTGGGGAAAATCATACGCTTGCATGTGACCATTTGGCGTCATCTCAATAGCTCAGTTTCCACATCCACCCCTTCAAATGTTGCACTCACAATTATCTCGTTAAGGAAATGGGACAATCTGAATGCAGATGCAATGAGAATTACCATAAAACCTGAAATTGAGGAAACGACCATCTCAAAAGCTACTTAACAAGTCACTGACGCTTAGAGGCGGCTGTCGGTCTAGGACTGCAGCCAAGCCTTCACATGCACACCAAAGTCGCTTTAAATGGGCAGCTAAGCTGGCTGTGTTTTTAATTGTGCAATTATAGGACCATTGACAATTTTGTACGAGAACGGTCATTGTATAGATGTCAGAATGTTTGCTCGGGGCTCTCTTGAGCAATGGACTCGCCTGTGAGAGGGTTCTCACACGCGTGAGAGGGTTCTCACACGCGTGAGAGGGTTCTCACACGCGTGAGAGGGTTCTCACACGTGTGAGGTTCCGATTTGAAAAGCTGGGCAGAGCTTGTATTTCACGGAAAATTAGATATGGGCAGAATACTCATTTGGCTTAGAGGATTGTCACTTGATTTTTACGGACGTGAAAAGGGGGCCAACAACCACTTCGAACGCAGTTCCCAGTTGTCATGTTGGCAATTTAAAATCTGACCGCATCAGAGTTGAGATCGTGGCGCTGGGCTCGAATCGCCGCGCAAATGATTTAACCCGCTGCGACGCATCAATGACCACCCGGACATCATCACGCGAGGAGGCCCCCCCAGCTCTTCGTGCCGCACGCAAACTCGTGATCAGGATGCCCGATGCACGGCCCATCGAGCGGCGAGCTGGCGCTGCGTCAGGAGGAGGTTGAGCAGCTAAACTCGGAAAGCCGCACGGCGTTCCGACCGAGACTCGGACTCGTCGCACCCCAAACCCGCACAACCGCGGCGGCGGCGGCGGCTCCCAACGCCGAGAGCCCACGCCCCTTTATCAGCAATGTCACTTTTAATTATTTTTGGAATAACATAACTGTACCAAATGTGCAGGAAATGCGTAGGACTCTTCATCCTACGAACAATAAAGTTATTAAGCTTCATCCTCAGTTTTCTGACCATTCCGATGGCAGCGACAAATCCACGTCGTGCAGTGCAGTTTGGTAACCGCATGGATGTTGTGCTTCCCACCATGCACCCACGGCTCCCGACATAGCTTTCAAAAGACTTCTGTGCTGTGCCGATTGTGAAAGGTTTGGACTACATTCATTGGTACGATGTGCCGACTCTTAAACCCCCCTTTCATCCGGGTCAGGCTCCATTCCAACGCGGCCACGAGAGTTGAGGAGAGGTGTGTACGGGAGAGGCCGGTGTATCAAACGTTGCACTGGGGGCTTGCGTGGGGAGGGATATTGTGCAGGCTTCGCACACGAAGAATCAATGCAACGCTGTGACATTTACAGGGTGCGATGGGGATGGACCGCATTACTGCGAGGCAATGGGTGGAGGTGGTGTTACGAGGGTGACACTTGGCACCGTGCGGTGAGCGTGTGCATGCACACGTGTGAGACACGCCCCTCCTTCGCCGTACAGCAATTCAAAGCCACCCACCTTTACCACTCGCTGAGCAGGAACACTGAGCCTGCACGTTCCAGTACACTTGTTTGGGCAATGTTTCCAGAAATGATGAAAATATTAATAAGTTTCCAAATGGATTTGCCGTAGCGACGTATAGAATGCAACACCATAATGCTAGCGTGGTAGCACGCGTGCGTGGAGTTACGGCGACAGAAATCTGCGAGATGTGGGATAGAGCAGCACCACTCTTCCTGAGGGCCCAGATCAGATATGGTAACAACAACAGATTGACTAATTAATATTGATATAAAATGTTTACCATTTAAACAACAAACTGCAAAAGTTAACGTTTTTTCAAACACGAACGAGATTTTCAATGAACTGAATTGGCCACTTGGCCACACCTGAACTGGGCTCGCTGGAAAAGTGCGTTTGGTCTCCTCTGCCAATCGCAGCCCTTGGGGGTTGGTTTGCAAAGCACGAGCGTCACGGCATCACCACACCGCCGCCGCAATCACACCACGGTGTGCTGCTTGCCGTCGCCGCCGCCGCCGCCGCCGCCGCCCGCCACGTCCGGGACGTAGACGTCGCCGAGGAGCCGCACCTCGGCCAGGCTCTCGTAGTCCTCGGGGTCGGGCGCGTCATCGCGCGGCTCGGAGCAGGCGGACACGTCCGAGAAGGACGTGCGAGCGGGCGGGCACGGTCGGAAGCGCGAGCGCTCGGGGCCCGGGCGGCGGGGCGCCCCCCCCGGCGTCCCCGCGCGCCGGGGGGGCGCGGGCGGGGCGCGGGCCGCTGTCCGCGCGCGGGGGCGGCGCCGCGCCCGCCCTCCCCCCGCCGCCGTAGCCGCCGTAGCCGCAGTAGGGACGCGTGGGCCACGAGCCGGGGTGGGCAGGGCCGAAGGCCGGCGCCGCGTGGCCGCCCGGCGGGGGCCGGCACGGCCACGAGCCGCCGCCCGCGGCCGGCCCGCCGGGCGGGCGGTAGCCGGGGGGCGGCGGGGGGGGCAGGCTGCCCGTGCGCTCAGGGTAGTCGTCCTCCTCCGGCGGGGGCGGGTAGTCGCTGTCGATGTCGTAACCGCCCGCGTAGTAGTCGTGCTCGAGGGCGTCCTGGCCCGGGTAGCCCGGCAGCTCCGCCGGGTAGTGACAAATCTCCTCCTCGATGTCCTGCAGCTTGTCTGGGAGCCAATCGGACGTGTCCCAGTGGTAACCTGCATCACGCGGGAGGGCGGCAGCAAGCGGGTGGCACGAACGCGGTCAAGGCCACGGCGACGCGATCCGGCACCCGCGCACAGCGCACCGCTGTCACGAAATGCGCTTGGAGGCGCTGCTGTCTCAGTATTTCGTGACCGATGACAGCGTCACCATCGTCATCCATCATCATTAACCATCATCATTGTCATCCATCATCATTAACCATCATCATCGTCATCCATCACCAACCATCCATCATCATCGTCATCCATCACAATCCATAATCATCGTCATCCATCATCATCATCCATCGCCATCCATAATCATCGTCATCCATCACCATCCATCATCATCGTCATCCATGATCATCAACTATCATCATCGTCATCCATCACCAACCATCCATCATCATCGTCATCCATCACAATCCATAATCATCGTCATCCATCATCATTAACCATCATCATCCACAGCGTGGGGGTCTTCCAGTCTGGGATCTCCGTCTCTGTACCATGCCGCCCCCTCGTTTGTCCGTGCCCACCAGACCACTCCTCTCTGTGCTGTCCACCACTCCTCGCTTCCGCGTCTCCCACTCCACCTCTCGGTCACGGCCAGCGATGCAAACGTTTGCCAAGCCCCCTCTTGTCTCATCACGGCCCCAGAGACTTCCCCTTCCTCACCACTGCAACCTAAATTAGTTCATGTTGATGTCTATAATTATTCACCATTTATGGTATGCAGCGTTTGTTCCAGTATAGCTTTACTAATCGTCCAAGTTCACAGCCGCACACACCACGGTTAACCAAACTTGCCTGTATTTGTACCTCGCCATATTGCAAGTGTAAGCGGTCATTGATTACAGCACGCAGCACAATTGGCCTAGCAAACCAGGGTCCTTGGGGCACGCGAGCGAGGGGAAGGAGGTTTGCAAAGTGGATCAGGGTTCGCGAGTGTGGGCCCCCGAGCGATGGGGCTGAAGAGCAGAAGTGAGAGGAAGTGAGAGGAAGCCGGAGGGTCACCTGGAGCTGCCTGGAGATGTGGGGCTGTGGCGCGAGGCCGGCCGGCGTGCGGGAGGAACACACACACGCCGTCAGTGCACCGCATCAACACGCGGGGGGCAGCGTCGCCGAACAAACGCACGCGACTAGCCGAGCGCGGGCAAACGGCAAGAACGCACGGCCACAGCAGCCATGGCACCACGCACGGACGAGCACAGCAAGGACGCACGGCACCACGCACGCACGGCACAACAAGAACGCACGGCCACAGCAGCCACGGCCAGCGCCCGGCCTCGATAAAAAAAAAGCAACATTTAATTCAATAAGCCGAGGTCATTTCAACAAGCCTTTAATAACTGGCCTACTTAATATTATGCCAAAATGTAAATTATACTTTTGCTTTGTGCGGCGGGCCTCGGGGGCTAAGGCATGTTTTCCATCAGTTTATAAATTACGTAATTAATGCTCTGGAAAAAAAAAACCCTAAATGTTAAACAGCTCTGGTCTGCTGTCAAGTTTGGAAGAAAGCAGACATATTTGACCCAAATGGTGTCCCCAGGTGACACACAAGAGCACAAGTTATGGGCTTGGGATCCAGAATCAGCCTCGTTGTTTTAATGTCTGCAAAACGTCCACCAGTGGCTCCTTCACTGACAAAAAGGGCCTCTCTGTATGCCCCCGATGTGGAGGCCAGCTTTTCCAGCGAGTACCTTCACAGCGGGCTCTTAGAGCGGTCGTAGTTTTCTACAGTGACAGAAATTCAAGAGGCCGATACGCTGATTTATAGCGGACGTTCAAGAGCACCGCGCGCGTGCCAGCAGCGAGTACTGGCCGAGAGGCAGCAGCGAGCCAAGCAACAACAAAAACGGCATCTCCCCGCTCAACAAAGCCACAAATGAGAAGGCATGCACCGTGTTGCAGCAGCGTCGCTACGCCAATGCAACGCGTCTGCACTGTGGCGTAAGCCCCGATAATAAGTTACACTTAAAAATGAGTGGCTTGGCACCACTGTGGCCAGTGCCTTGGCAGAATTCGGCTTCCACAGCCGTGAATCGGGAAAAGGGTGAAACCGCTCACAGCGAAGGATAAAGCAGCGCTCACGGCAGATGGGAAGAGGATATCAAATAACAAGCATGCACACTCCGTTGCGTACACACACACACACACACGAGAAACTCGCCAATGATATGGACACTAACAGTGCACTGACGAACGCGCTAAGAGCATGCCCGTACACTCAGCCTGCATATAATCATAATAACAGTAACTTCAACTTTTAATGCACCACGGAGTTACTCACTCATTCCTCGTAGAGAGAGGACGACGACTCAAGTGTTGCCATATCACGAGCCGGTGCCAACAACTGCCCAAGCTCTACAGTCCCCTATATACTAAGTTGTTATCAATCAATTAGTACTCATTAATTAACGAGCATACGACACTAATCAAACACACGTACACACGTACTCGCACACACATGCCTAGAACAGAACAAATAACATCCACGAATAAGGTTCACATACACAACCAACACACCACAGCGCACGTGCAGCCAGGCACGTGGTGTGCACACTCACTGCACGCACTCGCTCTCTCACGGACACGCACAAAGACAAACATATCACCATACAGCCAGACCGCGCCGCCTGCCGGCATTCATCGAGGCTTGTACGGCAGGCGAGCGCGTGGTGTAGCCAAGCACCACGCACCACAACAGCTACTCATTAAAGGCCAAGGCGACCTAGAGGAGGTCAGGACACCACTTGCCAACTACGTTATCCGTGGCTGGGAATCAAATCCTCACTGCGAGGAATCGTAGCTCATTCCGCACCACGAGAGGTGGTGGTGGTGGTGGTGGAGGCCTCTCCCTCGGTGCCAGGCTCGGTGCAATCTGGGAGTGGCGAAGGGGCTCACCGTCACGAGATGGGGGGAGAGGCTCGAGCATTTAGCCCGACAGACTGCGGGAGGCAAGTGTGAGTTGTGACGCAGTGGTCAGAAGGCGATGCAGTCATTGTAACGCACAGGGCCAACGTTTAGCTCCCCAGTCTATCAAGCGGCCCTTGCACATCACACGCACACATCGGTCTAGAGGAGTGGATCTCAGAGTGTGGTCCCCAGACCTCCAAGTGATCCGTGGGGCTGTGAAACAAATGCAGGTTGATCTGGAAATAACGACAATGTTTTTTACCTTTTAGTTCGGACATTCATTATATTTAATTTTAAACATGAACTAAGGTAAACTATCTTCATTAAACTACCCTAACCCTAAGATCCAAATGCCACCCCTTAAAAAAACCAAAAAAACCTCATAGCTACGTAAAAAGAAATACGTTTTTACGTTCCGGTAATATGAATAATGTCGTAGTGCTATTTGGAGAGATAAGCAATTGTGTTTTGACACCAGGGGTGGGAAGGCCGAGTGGTCCTCGGGCCAAACAAGTTTGAGAAACACTGCTCTAGACAAACAAACACACACACACTGACATTGTGCGCACGAAGCATTATTCACACGCCCGAGTGCCAGGCTGAATTTTAGATTCCCGTGTTCACCAATCTTGCTCCACGCTCTGTCCGACCGAAGTTAAACGGTGCAAATTTCCTGCACGCGTTGTTTCTTGCACTGTTCAAAATGTCGCACATCCTATGCACAAGAAAGCAACTCTCTCTTGCTTCAGCTCTGCATCACAGGAGGAATTTGCCGAGGTCGGATGGCCCACGTCCGTGTATAAACTACGTTCGCGAGCCTCGTCAATTGAAGCGTGATGATGGACGACAGTCGGAAATGACAAGGGAGTAGACAGCTGAGAAAATGGGACGCATCTGAGAGGACGTCTACCGTGGTGATGCAGGCGGTGAAATCAGCTCGTGAGCAGGTAAGGCCCACTGAGCCACACAGCTCTCTTTCAGCCTGGCCACAAAGGATAGCCTAACGAAGTGGCCTATCGCATGGAACTGTATAGCAGCATGTTATGCCCCGTGGTCACGTGGATTTTTTATCCAGGAACTTGTGATGTTGGTACCACGCATTACAGGAACTTGTGATGTTGATACCACGCATTACAGGAAGTTGTGATGTTGATACCACGCACTAGAGGAACTCGTCATGTTGGTACCACACATTACAGGAACTCGTGATGTTAATTCTAAGTGTCAAGAAAAAAACTGGAGGGCCCGGAGATAAATCCACGTGACCCTGGAACACGAAAATTCCAAATATACACAGGGGTCAGGGTTCGCATCGAACCCACGGCTTCCTACATTCCAGGAGAGGTAGTTAACGTCTCGCCACCAGAGCTACTGGGTGGATTAGTACACCACAGGACTGTGGGAGATTAGATTACGGTGGGCTTCATCTAGCAGTGGATTGATCGTGACCGATAATGATGGTGACGAAAGACAGGTTCATCCGCTTATCTTATAGAAACATCCCATGACCAGAGGCATAAAGAAATCAGCCACGTTGAGCCTCGTCCTCTTGATGATCACGCGACACCGTCCAACCAAACTACTGCAGAAACACAGGCAAGATAAGTGCACCGTTTAACTTTCTACGTTCCCCAAAACAGCGTCGCCCGCGCGCGCCAAGCCCAGCAGGGCCCTGTGTGCCGGCGAGCCGCCCCGCCGGCACTGCCGTGCGCCGCCGCCGCCGCCACGGCGTTGAGCCTGGGCGCGCCGCGCGCTCTTGCTCGGTGGGGGTGTAGGGGGAGGAGTCACAGAGGCACGATGAGGCAGCTCCTCGTCACTCTAACAAATACTCAGCCAAACTTTTTTTTTTACACTCTGGTTATCAAATTACGTGGCGTTGCCCCCTTGAGTGTACTCGTGTTCATTTAAAGATTAACGCCCTCAACGTGGCAATTTCTTAGAGTGAACCTACGCAGGCTGCAGGTGGAGGGCGCTCATCGGCGGTAACTTACGGCGCTGAAGATTTCACCCTGTGAGATTTGTGGGAAGATTTAATCCAGACGGCAGCTTTGGGAATCAACAAACAGCGTTAAGACTCCCAACGTTCGGCAACGGAAGAAGAAGCCCCGAGTGACGCCAGGCATCCGAACAACCCGTCTCGAGCGAGCGTCGCTCGCTCAGAGGCAGCGTGGACAGAGCATGTCCGCGGCACCGGGTAAGGGCGTACAACTAACACTCAGTTATGAATGAGCACGTAACGAGTGCGTTAATGAACATAGAACAAAATCGCGGTGACACGACCCAGAGTTGGGATTTAATGTGCACGTGGGCGGACACGGCACGCGCTCCGTTCGTAGGAATCAGAATATTTCTACTGGAGGAATCCGATGAGCTATAAAGCTCTTTTTCACAGATGTCCAGTTAAAGTGCCCTTGGCACGGGCACCACATGTAGATGCCAAAGTCAGCCTTCGCCGGCTTCAAGCCAGGGCCTCCCTGGGGAAAAATACACGACAGTGCTGCATCTGTACCATGGACAGGATGAATCAATTAATTTGCTTCACACCACGCGCTCTCTCTCTCTCTCTGACGTAACGACACATCTCACAGCGCAGATGCCCCTATTGGCAGCTGTCCCTGTGCGGCAACAAGGTTACTCGGTGCGACGCTCAGCAAAGGGCGTTTCGCCTGTGAAGGAGGGTTGAGTAAAATGTGGGTAATCTATCAACGTTTGCCAATTTGAAACGAAAATAACATTTTGTACGTTTTTTGAGCTTTTGGGGGAAACTGGGAGAACCTGGAAGGAACCCATTGCAGAAAATATACAAACTCAGAAAGGCATCCAAATCAGGAATCAAATCCATGCCCTTCTTGCTATGAAACGCGAGTGTGATCGACACACCACCCTGTCCGCCATGAGGAGTAATCTTTCATAAAACGCAGCACAACATTGTGAGCACGGCGCAAAGCCCCAAGGCCTTGATGATGACCTCTCTGAGACACGGAGGCAAGGAGAGCATCATGATTTACCCTGCCGGAGGTTCAATGGCAATCTTCGCAATTCGGGGTTACGATTCGATTCTATTTTAAACACCGCGGCGAATGTGTGTGGCGACCTCGAGGAGCTACGGGCGTTGCGTGAACCCGTCTATACGCTACGTGTCGATTGTAAACGTTGATTCTTATAGGCAGGAGTTAATGCACGTATTGTGAGCTTACAAACGATGAAGATCCGACATATCGCTACACCCCTACCTGAGCCCATTCACTCCCTTCACTGCCGTACCGCTCACCAGGACTGGTGTTGCGTGCCGAACAACCAACTCCAGCACGGGAGGAGCGATGGTGCCCCGTTCACAAACAAGCGGCCGTTCTCCCGACAGTACCAGATTCCTCCAAATACAAAATGCACCCAATATTCGTCGTTGCACCGCGGCCCCAGCGGCCGAATTTGTCCAACGCGGCTCCGCTCGCTTTCACTCCCCCCTCCGGATCCCGAGCGCCTCCCCCTGCGCCGACCCGCGTCCCCCCCACGAGGCCCTGCGGCCTCCCCCCAGCGCCCTTCGCTGGCGTACATCGGCCGGACCGCGCGCCAGCCCCCTACTCCGCCCCGACGTCCCCGGCGCCCACCGTTATCGTCGCACGTGTCGGAGTGCAGCGAGGCGAGCGAGGGGCCCTCGGGCAGCGTGGGGCACGGGTAGGCCGGGTAGCAGGAGGAGCCCAGCTTCTCCTTGCCCAGGCACAGCTCCCCGTCCACAAGCTTGCCTGTAGAATGGGAGGGGGGGGGAGGGACGCGCGTACACTCGCTCAGTATTCACAACAGCCTCATAACCACTCAGTATTCACAACAGCCTCATAGCCACTCAGTATTCACAACAGCCTCATAACCACTCAGTATTCACAATAGTCTCATAACCGCTCAGTATTCACAACAGTCTCATAACCACTCAGTATTCACAACAGCCTCATAACCACTCAGTATTCACAACAGCCTCATAACCACTCAGTATTCACAACAGCCTCATAACCACTCAGTATTCACAACAGCCTCATAACCACTCAGTATTCACAACAGCCTCATAACCACTCAGTATTCACAACAGTCTCATAACTACTCAGTATTCACAACAGCCTCATAACCACTCAGTATTCACAACAGCCTCATAACTACTCAATATTCACAACAGCCTCATAACCACTCAGTATTCACAACAGCCTCATAACTACTCAGTATTCACAACAGCCTCATAACTACTCAGTATTCACAACAGCCTCATAACCACTCAGTATTCACAACAGCCTCATAACCACTCAGTATTCACAACAGCCTCATAACCACTCAGTATTCACAACAGCCTCATAACCACTCAATATTCACAACAGCCTCATAACCACTCAGTATTCACAACAGCCTCATAACCACTCAGTATTCACAACAGCCTCATAACCACATGTTCACAACAGCAGCACACCCATCGTGCAATCCCTTGCACAGTGAACTCGCTCATGTGGTACACACAGCAACGTGCAAAGAGGCGTGTCACAATCATTTGAATAATAACACTGGCACCAAGTCACGGCGTGAGCAATGCGTTTAGTGGTGTGGGAGAGTCGTCTCTGCAGGAGGAGCTCAATCTAGACCCTGCCGAGGGGTTTTCATCAATCACTGAGGTCTGGAGAAACCATCGACTCACGAGACCCTTAACTTCGTACCACTTGGAAGGTGGGAGGGACCACGATGTTGTGCAAGGGCATTGCGGATAAGATGAGGATCGTGTAATGGTAAGTCGACGTTGTCTGCTCGATGGCCGACCGGCCGTCCCAGAGCGGAATGTCCACCAGCGGCTGAGCAACGCCCGACGCTCGCGATCCGACTCGTCGCAAGCGAGCGCACACCCGCGAAGGCGCTTCCGCCCGAGGTGCGGCGGGGGAGAACGCGCGGGCGGGGCGACGTACCCTCGCATTCGAACTCCCACACGCTCTTCTGGATGGAGTCGCAGTCGGACGCGGAGTTGGAAGGCGGCGGTGGGGGCAGGTTGGGCGCGACGCTGCACACGGCGACTCCGCGGCGTGCCCGCCCCGCCGAGTCCGGGTTGAAGGTCGAGAACTCGGAGGGGTAGTCGGCGCCGCCCTCGTACGACCCGCGGTCGAGGTTGTTGCGCGAGTCGCTGGGCACGCTGGGCGTGTAGGAGATGGGCCGCACGGGCACGGGGGGCGGCTCCTCCTTGCGCTCGCCCGTCGGCGAGCGGCGGCGGCGGCGGCACAGGCGCTTGCGCGCCGCGACGACGAGCGCGACGATCAGCAGCGCCAGCAGCGCCAGCGAGCCCAGGCCCAGCATCTCCTGCCAGCCCACGCTCACGGTGGGGTAGACGCTGGGCAGCGCGAGCTGGCACGAGTCGCCGCTGTAGCCCGCGGCGCAGCTGCAGTTGAAGGCGGCGCCGACGCTGCGGCAGGCGCCGCCGTTCTCGCACGGGCCGCTCGCGCAGAGGTCCGCGGGGTGCTCGCACCTGGCACGCGCGGACGCCGAGGCTTCAAGCACGTGCGTGCGCGTGGGGCGCCAGCCTCGGGCAACACCTCTCGTGCTCTCAACTTCGCTTAGAGATTGGTAATTATACTGGTAGGAACGAAGTTGTAAACTGAGTGTACCAGCCTGCAAAAGATTAACGCGTCCGTCCGTCCCCTTTCAATACTTTAACGAAGTGAAATCTCGTGCTGTTGGGTGTAAAATCAGCAATAGACAGCGCAGAGACTTGTCCTACCAGCCCACCCTGCAGGGACCTGCTATTATCCGCTGGTCGATCAGTGGATATTGTCAGAATCAGAATCTGTGTTTACACTGGAAGAATCCGATGAGCTATAACGCTCTTTTTTTTTACAGATGTAAAAGAGTAAGGGACGAAAGAAGTCACTTTTTGTACACATAAGTGGCCTTTGGGTGGGAAAGCTCAAGGAACACTGCACAACACAGATTGCATCGACAGAAACGTCACCAAGCCAACAACTCGAGCGGAGCCCGCTGCTGCCAACAGCGCACACACCCACGTGTGCCTCCCCCCCCCCCACCCCACAAAAATAAAGTGTTAAATATTTACAGGCAAAAGTTTATACGACCACACAACAACGCTGGTCCCTATTCCTCCTCATCAATGGCCACGTAGTTGCGTCGTCTGCATCGTCGTCATCATCATCATCATCAGGAGGAGCTCTACCTGAATGTTTAAACTGCTAGCTTAACTCATTCGCTGTGAAGTTCAGACTGAATGTTTAAACAACACGCTGCATACTCTATACTCTTTGGTTCTTTCGGTAAAGTCACGTAGTTAGAAATAAAATAAAATAAAACAAATCACGACGTTTCGATCGCAACACAAGCGGTCATCATCACGCTGCATATTAACGGGTGCCCTTCCAGCGGAAATGGCTGGTGGCCTGAGCCAACACACACAAGTAGTACAGTGCATCTGTGCATGCCACTGTGTGTCTGTGTGCGTGCCACTGTGTCTGTGTGCCCATGCATGCCACTGTGTGTCTCTGTGCTGGTGTGAGCCGGTAGTTGCGTGCCGACCTGTCACCGCTGCATGAACCGTGTCTTTCATGTATCTGGATAAATATTGCAGGAGGCTTTGTGGAATTCATTTGCTTTTAAGAAGCACGATTATATTTGGTTCTACATGAAATGGAGACTTCGATAATTTCCAAATTCACACTGTATGAACTCCCAACATTTTCCCACACATTTGGAATGTGCTTCAGAGTTTGACTCATAAGTAACTGCAGTCCGTATAAATAGTTAGGATGCTGCTGTCTGGTAACGTCGTGCAGGAGAGAGTGCCGATGTTGCCCATGTGGATCGCGTGCAAGACAAGAGCACGTGTGTGAGCTGTAATTGCAGTGTGGAGCTGCAGTACAGTGAGTGGTTCGCACTATGTGCTACGAACCCGTTGACCAGATTCCCGCTTACGACAAAAAACAGGGGCGAATATTTGAACCGGTCCCGGGCCTCCCCCAAATCGACTGGGAGAGTTAAACTAGTACCCTGCTGCGGTGTGCAAACATGAGCACAGGGCATGTGGTGCTGGCCACCCACCCCCTCGTGCGCCGTGCCGTCCTTGGCAGGCGCTTGCCCCCACAATCCGTTAACGGCTATGTACGGGGGAATCTTTGTTTCTATCCGTGAACCGTGACGCGACGCTACCTCAAGCCCGAGTAGAGGCTGCGACATCGGCAGAGGAAGCCGCCGGCGGCGGCGATGCAGGCCCCGCCGTGCTGGCACGGGTCCGAGCGGCACGGCTCCGTGTCCACCTCGCAGCGCGCGCCCGCAAAGCGGCCCGCACAGCGGCAATGGAAGCCACCTGCGGCAGGCCACAGGCACAGCGGCGGCAGCGCGTAACGACGACAACTTATACACAGCAGCTGGAGCTGACTAATGACACTCGAGCACCTGCTATGCACGTATGTTCAACTTCTTTTGCACCGTACGTAGCCAACCGTGCGCTAATTATCGGAGGTGTGCGGGAAGGACAACATACTAAGGGTCTCTGCGTGCGTCTATGGGTCTCTGTGTGAGTCTACCTGTGTATGTTGAACTTATTTCGTACATAGCCATCTGTACTAATCGACCCACATCGATATTTACCCTCTCGTTAATATCGACGAGGTGAACAAGAGGAAGTGACGATCACCGCTGCCTGGCCGGATGGTCACAGCCTCTCAAACTCTCCGAGTTGGTGGTCGAAATTACATGGCCGCACGTTCAGCTACATCGAATAACCCTACCCTGTAAGAGATTCCCCTCTGATTTGGGTATTAATACAATTTCAACGCAAGCTATACAATGAACAACAGGTTAATACAAAAAAAAATAATACCCAAAACAGGTTAATTACCACCGCTCAGAAGAAAGATGTTATGACAGAATGGACTCCTTCTGCAAGTGCGATGTAACCAGTGCTGTCCGGAGCGCTCTTTCGGGAATTATTTAGGCACGCCATATCTACCTCGTCACCGTGGGGGTCACTGTGGGGGTCACCGTGGGGGTCACCGTGGGGGTCACCGTGGGGGTCACAGTGGGGGTCACTGTGGTGGTCACCGTGGGGGTCACAGTGGGGGATCACAGTGGGGGATCACCATGGGGATCACTGTGGGGGTCACCGTGGGGGTCACCGTGGGGGTCACTGTAGGGGTCACTATGGATGGGTGTATCTTGCATTCTAACCGTCGTGCCAAAGGCCAATAATTATCCCTACTCCAACGGCCGTGTTCCAGGTAATAGCGAGTGAGAACAAAGCCTTAAATGTAACCCTCGTGACCAGAGATGGAGCACGCGCTGCCGCACTCGGTCACAACCAGAGATGATGCCTAGAAACTGAGGGCTGTGTTTAACTTCCCAGCCGCCCCCATTCGTAGCGTCCAGCCCTGGACGCACGACGCCACGAATTCTCACCGACGAAGCGGCCACAAAACCTTTCACGCTGGCAATTCGCCCCATTGTTGGCGATGAAGCCATCGGCACGTGTTCACCAACAATCAAGCGGGATGTAAACAAATTAATGGGCGATGAAGCACAGGTCAGGACACACTGGGGATTGAGTAACCGGGGGCCGAGTTAGACGCACGCACGCACGCTCCCGTCGCCAGAGCGGCACTGCGGTACCGTTGTGTGGCGTGGGCACGCAGGCTCCGCCGTTGAGGCAGGGGATGGCCGCGCAGGCGTTCTCCGGCGACACGAGGCAGCCGCGGCTCACGGCGCGCACCTCCTCGACGCGCGCCTGCGACCCCTCGCCTTCCGGGGGCAGCCGCTGCCCGTTTAAGACCACGGCGTCCAGGCAGCCGTGGAAGCCGGCCTCCGCCGCCGCCGGAACGGAGCCGCTCACGCCCACTTTCGACATCGGCGCTCGGACCTAACGCGGGGTCACGGGGTTCAAGTCTAACTTTAGTTTGTGTAACAAGGTTAGAAAAAAATGGACACAAGGATTTACTCGTCTGTAAGTGGCCTGGGGGTATTACCATGCCAGTAGGGGGCGGTGATTACCGGCACACAATCGCCTACATTTGTGAATGACATCACGGAGTCTTTAAAGTTCACTGTGAAGCAGATGTTGCATAGTATTATTATGGTTATGTGTGGTAACCATGCTGTGTGTGTGTGCGGTCGGCATGCTGTGTGTCTCCCTTGCTTGTGTGTATGTGATTGATACCCATGCTGTGTGTGTATCCTGTACTCTGTGTGGTACCCAAACCGTGCGTGTCCCGTGCTGTGTGTGTGGCACCCATGCCGTGTGAGTCCCGTGCTGTGTGTGGCACCCCATGCCGTGCGTGTCCCGTGCTGTGTGTGTGGCACCCATGCCGTGTGAGTCCCGTGCTGTGTGTGTGGCACCCATGCCGTGTGTGTGTGTGTGTCCCCGTGCTGTGTGTGTGGCACCCATGCCGTGTGTGTCCCGTGCTGTGCGTGTGGCACCCACGCCGTGCGTGTCCCGTGCTGTGTGTGTGGCACCCACACCGTGTGTGTGTGTGTGTCCCCGTGCTGTGTGTGTGGCACCCACACCGTGTGTGTGTGTGTGTCCCGTGCTGTGTGTGTGGCACCCACGCCGTGCGTGTCCCCGTGCTGTGTGTGTGGCACCCACGCCGTGCTGTGTGTGTGTCCCCGTGCTGTGTGTGTGGCACCCACACCGTGTGTGTGTGTGTCCCCGTGCTGTGTGTGTGGCACCCACGCCGTGTGTGTCCCGTGCTGTGTGTGTGGCACCCACGCCGTGTGTGTGTGTGTGTCCGTGCAGCGGTGGTTACCCGCGCTCCCAGGTAGAGCGAGGCGTCGAGGTTGAGAGAGCGCAGCGTCCCAGCGGCCGTGCCACGCGCCTCATGCTTCGCGTCGACGACGAGCCGCGCCTGGTTCCCCGTCACCTCCAGCGACACCGAGTGCCAGTGGCCATCGCTCACCGGCACGCGCACCGACACCACGCCGGGACCGCTCCCGCAGTCAAACTGGAACTGCAGCATGCGGTCCACAAGCTGCATACACAAAGAAAAAGATCCCCCCCCCCCCCCCGTACGGCCTTGAACAGACTGTTGGGGCGAGCACCGTCACAGCGAGCAGCATCTGGGCAGGCTGCCACGGCACGCGAGGGTGCAGGTCGCCAACACCGCGTTCGGCCTCATCCGTCTCCCCCAGTGCTGGTGTTTACGACACACCGTACAAGATACTCAGTTAAATCTGAATCTACCGAGGGGAGGCCCAAGACCCGGTATGTCACCGATGTGGGTCGTCAGCGGGAATCGAACTCGGGTCGCCGGGTTCAGAGTTCAGCACAGCGATAACGGCTAAACTACCGCTCATATTCACACACAAGGAAGCAGACACACACGAACACAAACGCAAATCCACATACACGCTTGTAAATCCACGTATACGCAAATACACGGAACGGTGTTTGGAAACTTTAAGGCTTAAATGTAAATCTACTCTCAAATGTTTACCCCGAATCATCTCAATCCGCGTTCGAGACTGGTCAGGTCGCCCGGGTAGGGGGGTGAGGTAAAGAATCTTGGCAGTAAAAATACATTTTTTTACGCCGAAATGTTTTTATTATTACCAGGTAAGGCCCACTGACCTATTCTCTCTTTTTCAGAATCGCCCTGACCACAAATGATAGCGTAACAAAGTGGCTTATCGCATGGAATTTTCTAACAGCCAAATACTCTCAACGCATGTTTCTAAACAGGAGGACATGGAGAAAAAAATCCACATCACCACGGGGAGAACACTGCAAGCTCCACATAAGCAGGCGTCAGGGTCGGGATTGAACTCACGACCTCTTGCATACCCGGCAAGGTAGTGAACATCTCTCGCCACTGCTGCGCCCAAATAATTTTACTATAACTTTCAAATTATAGTGATGCTTGTACCAGGGAAGGCCTCACCGAGGCTCACAACTCGTTTGCCAGAGAAACCCTGTGCCACGTTTTCACAGTCGGGGGACGATGTTTTCTGTGTGCATTCCCAACCGAGTAATTTGTCGGTATTTTTTGCAATGCGATGTTTTGCCAATTGGGAGAATTGAGGAGGATATCAAGGGATTAGCGGTGGTGTGAAAGCACAACAAATAAGAAAACAACTAGAGAAATTTTCGCCTGCGAAGGGTTTGTGTTCATCATTATGCACACGGGACGACTTTGAGCACCCAGACAGACCCCGGTTCTTCATCACTGCCGATGAAGCTCAGAGCGCTTGGAGGGAAACGTCGCCGCGTGTCGATGATTAATTCAGCATCCCAAGCAACCAGTGAGGAGCAGCTTTGTCGGTCAGAATGCGATCGACACATTGGCAACGTGCGGACAATATGTGTGTGTGTCAACGCGACAATCTCGCTGGGTGGCGGAGGGGTTGATGCCAAAAATGCTGGCATCAAACTACCACGACGTGGCCGAACCCAAACGCAAACACGGATCATTGCGTTCACTACAGATACAACATTTGAAATGTTTAAATATTACGTAACCGAGTGGACTGTGCGGTGACGGCCGGGACTGACCTCGAGGACGGCGTAGTCGGTGCCGCGCGCGTACAAAATCACGCCGTGGTGGTGGTGCGTGCGCAGCCGCAGCGACAGCTGCAGCGCGTCGGCGCTGGCGTCGCGCAGCGCGTAGCGCACGTACGAGCTGCCCCTGAACGTCAACGCCGACTCGTCTGTCCGCGCACACACATGGCGGGACACACAGAAGCGCGCCAGACGTGAACATACACAGACACGCTCTTCGTCTCGGTTTCTACGTCCCTCCACTCTCACGATTCCCACCTCTCCCTTTCCCAGCTCAATCTCCCGTGCCTCTCCCGAATCCTCTCTGCCACCGCTCGTAACGTTCCCCGTCATGTTCCGTTTTGCCCTTCCGCTCCTCTCCGTTGGATGCCCTTTCATTCTCTCGCTGCCCTTCCCCCTCTCCATCTCTGGCTCCCACCGCTATCTCTCTCCCTCATCTCGCTCCCTGCCTCAACTTCCTCCTCAGTATGATAGTGAGAGTATGATCGTACGATAACACGAGAGGGTATCCCGTGCATTTGTGCGGGATAATCGCCCGAGGTGGAGGGTGGGTGGAAGCGGACTCAGCGCTGTGGGATGCACGTGACGAGAAGCGGAAGACGTCATCACACAGCTGTGCGCGGTGACGTCACCGCCGGGTACGCGCACTTGGGAGTGTGGCACCCAGCCAGACAGGAATCCAACCCAGGTCATCCAGCCAGAAAATTTGTATTTAAATACAGTATGATATGCGCACAGACCTATACACCCAGAGCTGATCTAGGGGAGGCCCAGGACCGGTTCAGATAATTGTCACTGGCGTTGTCCGTGAGTGGGAATCGACCTTGTGTCGCCATGCTCATACCGCAGTGCGTTAACACACGTGGACACACAAAAAGGCAAAGATCCCCCGTATAGCCTTTAACAAACTGTTGGGGTAAGTGCTGTTAGTGAGCACCTATGAAGGCCGAAACGGTTCGCGAGGGGGTGAGTGGCCAGCACCACGCCAGACCGCCTTTGTCTCCCTTGTGACAATATTTACACACCGCACCAGGTAGCCATTTGAGGCTGAGTCGACCTAAGGGATGCCCAGGACCGGTTCAAACTCGGGTCGTCAGGTTCGTAGCGCAATGCGCTAACCGCTACGATACCACTCCTCAAATAGACACACACACGTAGGCAAAGATCCCCCGTACAGCCTTAACAGACTGCAGGGGCAAGTGCTGCTACCGAGCACCTATGAAGGCCGGCGCGGCACACGAGGGGGTGGGTGGCCAACACCATGCCCCTTTGTCTCCTAAGCGGCGACAATGACACACACACACACACCGGGTACTCATTTGAGGCCGAGTCAACACGTAGACACACACACGCGGACGCACGCTCACCCTGGCAGGAGCGGCCGGGGAGGCAGGTGCAGCGGAAGCCGCCGGGCAGTGCCGCGTCCTCGCACCGCTCGCCCTCGCCGCAGGGCGCCGCGTCGCACGGCGCCGCGCCGCCGTCGCGGGTCTTGTGTGGGGGATTCTCGCACGCGGCTCCTGCACGGGGGGGGGGAGGAGGGGGCGGGGGTAGGGGGTAGAGGCGGGTCAGCAGCGGTCGCGTGCCCTGCCGACGAGGGGCGATGTGGAATCGCCGGCGTAAACGGCTCGGAGTCTAAGAGACGGAGAGAGCCCCTAAGCGCGCGGCAGCTCCGGCGATCGGCGTCGCCGGCAGGGCCAAAGCCCTCGGCACCGCCCCTCTCCCGGCCACCGCGGACAATTCGTGTCACGATTAAAAGTTGCGCAAGATTGAGCCGCAAGGTGGCGCGGTGGTAACACTCGTGCTGCGTGCGAAGAGGCCGGGTCCGATGCCAGACTCGGGCGCCCTTCTGTGTTCTGCCCCTGGTCAGCGATGGGGGTTCCTCCGAGTTCTTAGGTTTCCTGCCGTAACTAAAATAAAACACAATGTAACCGGTATTCCAATGCTGAAAATGTATTTGCAAATTACACAATTGAAATTACATAGCAGCACCATCGCCCCCCTATTGTGAAAACCTGGCAAGATCCTCCTGAAAAGGAGTCAGTGCCGTGGTGTAGTGGGGTATAGTGGTGCAGTGAACTAGTGCAGTGTCGTGGTGTAGTGGTGAAGTGTAGTGTAGTAGTGGTGCGGGTGTAGTGTAGTGTGATGTAGTGTAATGCAGTGGTGTTAGTGGAGCAGTGCAATCGTGTAGTGGAGTGTAGTTGTGCAGTGTAGTGGTTTAGTGCAGTGGCGGTGGAGTGTAGCGGTAGCGCAAGGCGTGGGATGGTAAGCGACGAAGCGGCAGTACCGGTGCAGGCGCAGTGTGCCGTGCGGTGGTGCCGCGGGGTGACCAGGCTGAGCCGCGCGGTGCTGTAGGTGTGCACGGCGCCGCCCGCGTCCAGCGCCACCGACTCGCGGCAGAGTGGCGCCGCGCAGCCGTCGCAGGCGAGCGCCGGCGGCGACGTGGCCCGCAGCCCCACGGCGTCGCCCAGCTCCTCCAGCGAGCCGTTGAGCTGCTGCAGCAGCTGGGCCTGTGGGAGGAGGCCCCCGCCGGCTGGTCGCTCCACCACGAACAGCACGTCCAGGTCGCCCTGCAAGGCCCAGGCCCCATCCCCGGCGTCAGAGAGCTCGGGTGACATAACGGTGACCACCGCAGGCTGCGTGTGGACTCAAGAGCAGCGATTAACTTTGCACATTCCTATGACGAGGACCAGTCACATTTTTTTATCGATTGTTGGTGTTAATTTCAAGTTAGTATTTATTTGCAAATTATTATTTGTAAATAAATATTGTACATTTATACGTACATGCCCCAGAAAAATTATATACTGACATAAATGAATACAGCTCAAAAAAACTAAAGACTGGCCTCTACCATAATATTAAATTTTTGCTGTTAGCTCAAGACTATGAATAAAGATGTTACCCAATGTTCATATTAGCAGGAAATTCATTTGTCAGCAGCAGTACCAGTCAAATGTTATTGTGAAGATGCGAGCCGAGTGAAAAAGAGCTCGTGCCATGTAAACAATCGTCTAGCGGCTCAAGCGATGTCATTACAGGCCCCCTTGGAGTGCTCCCCGATGGTGACTTCAACCCTTTATATCCCATTCACAAACACTCAAAGGCTCGCCACCGGTGTGCTGTGGCTTGCGTCTCCCCGTAGGGATCTGAGCGAGTGAGCGAGCACGCGCGTGCGTGCGTGGCGCCTACCTGCGGGTCGGGCTGAAGGCTCAGCAGGCGCACGTCGGCGTGCCGCGCGCCCAGCAGCGGCGGCAGGGCGCGCTGGAAGTTGTGCGCGTAGCCCGCGACGAACTCCTCCGGCGAGACGGCGCGGAAGCGGAGGAGGGCGGCGTGGCGCAGCGCCGCGTCCGACACGGCCTCCACGCGGATGCTCACCTCCGTGGGCACCGAGAAGCGCCCGTCGCTCACCGCCACGTGCAGGCGGTAGCGCCCGGGCGCGAGCGGCGCGCGCGCCACCAGCTTCCCGTCCAGCGGCCCGACGGCGAAGGGCGGCTGCTCCTCGGCCAGCGAATATCGCAGCGCGTCCCACACGTCCAGGTCGGTGGCGTGGATCTTGCCGAGGACGCCGCCGGCGAAGCCGCCCGCCTCCTCGGCCGCCACGATGAGCACCTCGAGCGGCACGACCGACGGCACGCTCACGCTCTCCGGGATCACGCGCACCTCCACGCCCGCCCGCGACGACAGCGCGGGGCGCCCGCTGTCCGCTGCCTGCAACGTCGTACAGGGTTAGAGGTCGGACTTACAGGGCAGGGTTAGCATGAGGGTGAGAGGGTCAGGATTAGCCTCAGGGTTACCACCATTGAGTCATCGTATAATGACAACACAGGCAAGCGGTGGTGCTGATTTCGACTGGGGTCTCCCGAGCCCAGGGGAAACATTCCATTCCGACACCACAGACGCGTCTGTGCATGTTGCACAATCACTAATGACTCCGCACGCTGTGACCCTAAAGTGCGATGGACTGAATCGACTCAAGACCGGGATTTGAACTTATGCCCTTCCAATTATAAAGCCAGCACCCTGCTATGTGCGAGATTATTTAGTAAAGAATTCCTCCATATGACATGAAATTATTTCTGCAATGTTCTTAACAGAAAATCTTCGGGGTAAATTCAACATTACTTTAACACCTGAAGAACTTTTCCATTACAATTTAATGTTCGTAAAACCCGACGGCCACAAGCCCCACGAGGGACCGGGGCACAGTCGCGACGCGACCTCTCCCGAGCGGAACCAGCGGCGGCACCCCCACCTGCACGAGCAGCGTGTAGTGGGCCTTCTCCTGGCGGCTCAGCGGCGCCGCTGTGCGCAGCGTCCCCTGGGCGTCCACATAGAAGACCCCGGCGTGGTCCCCGGGCAGCAGCGAGAAGGCGAAGGGCGGCCCGTTGTACGACGAGTCCAGGTCGGTCACCAGCAGCTGAAGCACGCTCGAGTCCGCCGGCCGATTCTCCTGCAACCCCGCAAACGTCCCTCCGGCGTTAGCGCCGGTAGCCGCCGCGCTTGGGGGTTGAATGTGGTGAAATGTTAACTCCCTCGCCTGGTGTACAGGAGGTCGTAGGTTCGATCCCAACCCTGACGCCTGCTGCTGTATATTTGGAGTTTGCGCGTCTCTCTCTCTCCCCGTGGTCGCGTGGATTTTTCTCCGGGTCCTCCGGTTTTTCCCTCCACGTTTAAAATCAACATCACGCATTTTTAATATTTGGCTGCTGTAAACTTCCACGCGACGATAAGCCACTTCGCTGAGCTATCATTTGTGGCCATGTCGCTTCAGAAAAAGATCTATATAGCTCAGTGGGCCTTAACTGGCACAACAAAAAATCTTGCTTTTTTTATGTCGCCGAAGCTCAGCTAACGGGACACGATCGGCCTCCTGAGTGCTGGATTCCGAATCCTCCCGCCACCACTGAGGGGATCGAAGTCCACCCCGGCGCGAGGCCCCGAGGCCCTCACCTGCACCACGATGCTGTAGTTGGACTGCGCGAAGACGGGCGCATTGTCGTTCACGTCCGAGACGTCCACGTTGACCGTCACCTCGGAAAACTTGGCAGGGGTGCCGCTGTCGGTGGCGCGCACCGTCAGGGCGAATCCGGACACCTGTGGCGAAGGGACGGTGCACAGAGCGTTACCGGTGACACTGGGCGGCACCGGACTCCGCGAGGCCATCATTCTAACAGCACCTGCTGACAATAACCCATTTGGCGATGATAAATCAAGAAGTGCACTGCTCCACAAGTCAACAGCAATGGGCCCACGGCCCTTTGCGAGGTTGTCAGGGCAGCTTTACGCGCTGCAATGGGAGTGTTGTGCACCACTCAAGGGGCGCCACCGCAGTCTCGAAATGTTGCGAAACGCCACGTTCGACAATCGAGCCATTTCTGAGTCCACTCTGCTCCACCATCGCACATCGTTAGCGAGCAACCCGGGCAACCGCAGCGATCGTTCGAAGCACCACCGCAAGCCTGGGACACCTCGCAGCGCCGAGCGCACCGCACGCCATCACCGCCAGCACCAACAGACCGTGCGTCTCCTACGAATCGTGCGTTTGGTCACGCGCTCGGACGTCACGCGCTCGAGCAAGTGCAGCGCGTGGGTGGCGCGACGAGGGCCGCCGAGCTGGCCGGGGGGCGGTCCCGCAGCGGGGCCTTACCGTCTCCCGGTCGAGCGGCTTGACGACGGAGAGCCGCCCCGAGGCGGGCTCCAGCGCGAAGTGTCCCCCCGGGTCCCCCCCCGACACCGAGTACACCACACGGTTGTTGGCGGGGCCGTCGCGGTCCTCGGCCATCACCTGGAGCCACACAGAGAGGCAACGTCGACGCTCTGCTCGGTGACGTCGCCTCGACGCCTGCGTCGGGCAAGGTGCGCTTGTGGGCCATGTGAATTGACAAAAGCTTGCCGGCAGGAGGGTCGAGGGACAGGCCCAGGTCAGCACGTGGGACACATGTACAAGTACACGCATGTACACAGACACAAATGTACATAATATAAACAAGGATTCATATACCACGCCCAACCGCCTTTATCACCAGGTACTCATTTGAGGCTAAGTCGACCAGTTCAAATAATCGTCACTGGTGTTGGCCGTCGCTAGGTTCGTAGCGCAGTGCGCTAACCGCTACACATGCATTTGCATAGACAAGCAGGAATCATAATAATTAAATGGCCAATTCCCATAGTAAATTCTGCATTCAATTGCATCATGGATTCTTCCATGGAAAATGCGTGCAATCGAATGAAATTTTGCTGCGATTTGAGATGAGCTGGGCTTTGGCGATGCTTAGCTTAGCTTGAAATTGCCAATTCCAGCCCGGGAGAATGTGGCCAATTTCAGGCATTCAGAACGGACAAGAAAATGCATTTCTGATGCCTTCAATGCGGAAATCAGCACAATTCACACATTAAATCAATCAACAAGTCTTTATTTTAAGTGCCAATGTCGCCCGTAATAAAGAAGTGCACAGTGCAGCAGAACGGGAATGGAGGAGGAATGAAGAAAGCCGTCACGACCTCAGCGGCTAACACTGACGGAGCAAAATAAAGTGCAATCGTGCACAAGTATTTGATCCTCTGCTGATTTTGTACGTTTGCCCACTGACATAGAAATGATCAGTCTATAATTTTAATGATAGGTTTATTTTAACAGTGAGAGACAGAATAACAACAACAAAATCCAGAAAAACGCATGTCAAAAATGTTATAAATTGATTTGCATTTTAATGAGGGAAATAAGTATTTGACCCCTCTGCAAAACATGACTTAGTACGTGGTGGCAAAACCCTTGTTGGCAATCACAGAGGTCAGATGTTTCTTGTAGTTGGCCACCAGGTTTGCACACATCTCAGGAGGGATTTTGTCCCACTCATCTTTGCAGATCTTCTCCAAGTCATTAAGGTTTCGAAGCTGACGTTTGGCAACTCGAACCTTCAGCTCCCTCCACAGATGTTCTATGGGATTAAGGTCTGTAGATTGGCTAGGCACTCCAGGACCTTAATGTGCTTCTTCTTGAGCCACTCCTTTGTTGCGTTGGCCGTGTGTTTTGGGTCATTTTCATGCTGGAATACCCATCCACGACCCGTTTTCAATGCCCTGACTGAGGGAAGCAGGTTCTCACCCAAGATTTGACGGTACATGGCCCCGTCCATCGTCCCTTTGATGCGGTGAAGTTGTCCTGTCCCCTTAGCAGAAAAACACCCCCAAAGCATAATGTTTCCACCTCCATGTTTGACGGTGGGGATGGTGTTCTTGGGGTCATAGGCAGCATTCCTCCTCCTCCAAACACGGCGAGTTGAGTTGATGCCAAAGAGCTCCATTTTGGTCTCATCTGACCACAACACTTTCACCCAGTTGTCCTCTGAATCATTCAGATGTTCATTGGCAAACTTCAGATGGGCATGTATATGTGCTTTCTTGAGCAGGGGGACCTTGCGAGCGCTGCAGGATTTCAGTCCTTCACGGCGTAGTGTGTTACCAATTGTTTTCTTGGTGACTATGGTCCCAGCTGCCTTGAGATCATTGACAAGATCCTCCCGTATAGTTCTGGGCTGATTCCTCACCGTTCTCATGATCATTGCAACTCCACGAGGTGAGATCTTGCATGGAGCCCCAGGCCGAGGGAGATTGACAGTTCTTTTGTGTTTCTTACATTTGCGAATAATCGCACCAACTGTTATCACCTTCTCACCAAGCTGCTTGGCAATGGTCGTGTAGCCCATTCCAGCCTTGTGTAGGTCTACAATCTTGTCTATGACATCCTTAAAGAGCTCTTTTGTCTTTGACATGGTGGGGAGTTTGGAATCTGATTGATTGATTGCTTCTGTGGACAGGTGTCTTTTATACAGGTAATAAGCTGAGAATAGGAGCACTCCCTTTAAGAGTGTGCTCCTAATCTCAGCTCGTTACCTGTATAAAAGACACCTGCGAGCCAGAAATCTTTCTAATTGAGAGGGGGTCAAATAATTATTTCCCTCATTAAAATGCATATCAATTGATAACATTTTTGACATGCGTTTTTCTGGATTTTTTGGTTATTCTTTCTCTCACTGTTCAAATAAACCTACCATTACAATTATAGACTGATCATTTCTTTGTCAGTGGGCAAACGTACAAAATCAGCAGGGGATCAAATATTTTTTTCCCTCACTGTAGCTTACGAAAAGTAAGTTGCAAATTAAACAGATAATAAGTAAACAAACTGTTTATTTTATTGTATGGGAAGGCAGGTCCAGATGTGTCTTGCACAGACCACGAAATATTCCCGTGGCTGGGCTGGCGTAACGGAGGCCGCACCCACGGAACCCTTCGAGAGTGAGTTAGGGCAAGCGATCGAGTGGGCGTGCGCGGTGGGGCGCGTTACCGTGAGCACGGCAGTCCCCGGCGGCATGTCCTCGCTCAGCACGGCGCTGTAGCCGCGGCGGCCGAACTGCGGCGCGTGGTCGTTCACGTCGGTGAGGTTAATGGAGACGGTGGTGACGGCGCTGAGCGAGGGCGTGCCGCCGTCGCTTGCCTGCACAGTAAGGAAGTGCTCCCTCTGCACCTCGTAATCCAGCTCCTCCGCCACCACCACGATGCCTGCAGACGGGGGGGGGGGGGGGGGGGGGTCCGGTTGGGGAGGGCGGAGCGGAGTCAGGGCGCGGTGGGGAACGCCGCTAGGACCAGGGTCTCGGCGCGACCACTCGCTCAAGCGTCACCGTGGAGAGGGTTCACTCGCAGTGAATGATCCGGGGCGGCTGCTCAACGCTGGCTGAACCAGAGGGCCTGTAAGAGGAGGCCGTGGGGGGGACAGGTGCCGACTGTGCAGCAGCGGCTGCTGGATGTAGCAAAATTCACTTGTTGACCATCGGCGTCACCGCCCACTGGGCGCCGTTGGTATTATACAACGGGCCGCTCACCGCTGTGGGGGTCGATGGAGAAGCGGCCGTGCTCGTTGCCGCCCACGATGGCGTAGGCGATGTCGGCGTTGGTGCCGGCGTCGCGGCTCACGGCGAGCACGGCCGCCACCTCGGTGCCCGCGGGAGCGTCCTCGGGGACGGTGCCCGAGTACTCGGAGAACTCGAAGGTGGGGGGGCTGTCGTTGACGTCGAGCACGGAGACGACGACCGCCGCGCTCGAGGAGAGCGCCCGCGGCGCGCCGCCGTCCCGCGCCACCACCGTAACGTGGTGCGACGGCCGCAGCTCGCGGTCCAGCGGGCGCGCCAGGCTCAGCATGCCCGTGTCGGCGTCCATCTTAAAGTAGGGGTCTCCGGGCTCCTCCAGCGAGTACTGTACCTTCCGGTTGAGGCCTACGCACGGGAGGGGGGGGGAGACCGACGGCAGAGGCAGCGAGGATTCACGGGGTGCCGCACCCGGTCCTGGCTTCCCCACTTCAACTCGAAAGGCCCGCTAAGCTATGTAGCTCTTTTTCAGAAGTGACCTGGCCACACATGATAGCCCAATGAAGTGGCTTATGATGTGGAAATTTATAGCGGCAGCCAAATGCTCTAAACGCATGTGCAGCTTCTAAATGTGTAGGGAAAAATCAGAGGACCCGGAGAAAAATCCACGTGACCACGTGGGTACACAGCAGGCATCAGGGTCGGGATGGAACAAAAATGGCAGCTATCGTCACAACTGCGTCCATCAACGCAGATGACGGCGGTGGAGAGCGCGAAGGTTCCGCGGCGGCGGCCGTACCTTGGTCAGGGTCGGTGGCCTGCACGCGCGTGAGCAGCGTGCCCACGGCCGTGCTCTCGTACACGCTCACGGAGTAGAGCGGCGTCGTGAACGCCGGGGCGTTGTCGTTGACGTCCTCCAGCCGGACGAGGACGCTCGCCTGGCAGAAGAGGCCGCCTCCGTCCGTGGCGCGGGCGGTGAGCGAGTAGGCGGCCGTCTCCTCGCGGTCGAGCGGCGCCAGCGAGCGCAGCTCGCCTGCGAGCACGGCACAAAACGCACGCGGAGCGAGCAACGCGGAGGTCACCGGTTTGTGTTCACGCGCAGCGACGTAGAGACCGATTCATCATCGTCCACTTACTCCAGTAACCCGGGTGCTGCTGCTGGGGGGTCCACTTTCTGCCCCGCCTCCTTCCCCCCCCCACCACTTCTCTCTCCCCCCCTACTGCCGAGGCCTACTATATAATCCTCGTGCCACGGCAGATCTCTCGCCTACTTCAGCAGTTCTTTCTTGCTGCGGTTGTCCCCCCTGATGACGATTGCTTGTGTTGCAATCGGAACGTCGTGATCTATTATTATTTTTCTACCTACGTGACTTTACCGAAAGGACCAAAGGGTATGGATTCCTGCAGTCACAAAAGCTTCAAATCAAGAATGTGGTTTTCCAGTTTAAGGAGGTGATGAATAAATAATACTCTGTAAAACAATGAAGCCTCTCGTGCCTCTGGAGAGGCTACGTCTCCCGTAAAGACGGCACGAAGCGGAGAGGCGGCGGCGGCGGTAGTTACCGGTGTCGGGGTCGATGCGGAAGCGCTCTGCGCCGGCGCCGTGCAGCGAGTAGCGCAGACGCGCATTCTCCCCGGAGTCGGCGTCACTCGCGTGCACCAGCAGCAGCGCTCGCCCCGCCGCCACGTCCTCCGGCACCGTCACCGTGTACACGGCCTGTGGGCGCGGGCAGAGACACGGGCGCACGCGCGGTGTCTACAGCAGTGTGTGTGTCCCACGTGGTGTGTAGAGCAGTGTGTGTGTGTGTACCCCACGTGGTGTGTAGAGGAGTGTGTGTGTGTACCCCACGTGGTGTGTAGAGGAGTGTGTGCGTGCCCCACGTGGTGTGTACAGCAGTGTGTGTGTGTGCCCCACGTGGTGTGTACAGCAGTGTGCGTGTGTCCCAGTCATATCAGTCAGTCGACCCGTGGCACCTGGGTCTGCCCCGTGACCTCCTGCCAGCGGGCGTTCGACACTTCACGTGGCCTCAGGGTGCACATAGCCTGGCACAAGCGTCGTGGTGATGTCACCGCCAGTTCGTGGTGAATGGCGGTTGTTGTTGTTGTAGAGGAGTGTGTGTGTGTGCCCCACGTGGTGTGTAGAGCAGTGTGTGTGTGTGCCCCACGTGGTGTGTAGAGCAGTGTGTGTGTGTCCCACGTGGTGTGTAGAGCAGTGTGTGTGTGTGCCCCACGTGGTGTGTAGAAAAGTGTGTGTGTACCCCACGTGGTGTGTACAGCAGTGTGTGCCCCACGTGGTGTGGACAGCAGTGTGTGTGTGTATGTCCCACGTGGTGTGTAGAGTAGTGTGTGTGTGTGTGTGCCCCACGTGGTGTGTACAGCAGTGCGTGTGTACTCGCCCCACGTGGTGTGTAGAGCAGTGTGTGTGTACTCGCCCCACGTGGTGTGTAGAGCAGTGTGTGCGTGTGCGTGCGTGCCCCACGCATCGCACCGTCCGGCCGCCTCACCTGCTGACACCGTGGGCGGTTGTCGTTGACGTCCTGCACGCGCACCTCCACGACGGCGCTGCTGCTGAAGGCACCGTCCGTCGCCGTCACGTTGAGCAGGAACGTGTCCTGCCGCTCGCGGTCCAGCGGCCGCCGCACAAACAGCTGCGCCTCACGCTGCTGCTGGTGCGGCTGCTGCCGTTGCGCGACGCCGATGCCGAAGTAGCCCAGGGGGTCTCCGTCTGGGCGCCCCGGCACACGGCACGAGTCGGCCACAGCTCATCTTACCGTGCGCGCCAGAATAAAAACCGCCTCTCTCTCTGCTGCACCGTTTTGGGCGATACGCCCAGGGCAGTGAAGGGGGTCTCCTGACCCGAAGACCTGGACCGAGTTACCGGCGGCCGACGTTTGTGATCTGTTCTCGACCAGCGCGGCGCACTCGTCACGGACTGGACTCGTGAAGGGTGCGCAAGACACAAATATTCAAATTAACTTCTTCAGACTCACGGCTCTCAAACGAGAGACTCTCTATTCTGTTCTCCACCCGTGTGTTTATAAACTGGTCAATCGGTCTGCAGCAAATTCATCATTGGTAGGAGACTCATTGGTGATGTGATAATAAGTGATGTGGTGAGTGATGTGGTGAGTGACGTGGCAAATGGCGAGACTCACTCCGGTTAGCACGGTGGGCTACGTATGGTGCGAAGTTCAACGACACACACAAGTTAAACGTACACACACACAAGTTCAACAAACACACACACACAAGTTAAACGTACACACATACACACAAGTTCAACAAACACACACACACACAAGTTCAACGTACACAAACAAACACACAAGTTCAACGTACACACACACAAGTTCAACGTACAAACACACACGTTCAACGTACAAACACAAACACAAGTTCAACAAACACACACACACACACACAAGTTCAACGTACACAAACAAACACACAAGTTCAACGTACACACACACAAGTTCAACGTACACACACACAAGTTCAACGTACAAACACACACGTTCAACGTATAAACACAAACATAAGTTCAACACACACACACACAAGTTCAACGTACACAAACACACAAGTTCAACGTACACACACACACACAAGTTCAACGTACGTACATACATGCACACACAACAAGTTGAACATACACACACAAGAAGTTCAACGTACACCAACACAAGAAGTTCAACGTACATACACGCATCAAGTTCAACGAACAAGCGGCGAGCGACGCGCCTCACCGGTGATGTAGTAGGAGACGTGGCGATTCTGCGGCTCCGAGTCGGCGTCGCTCGTGCTCAGGATGGCCACCACCTCCCCGGGGACGTCGTCTTCGCGCGCCGACCCGCGGTAGATCTCGGCGGTGAAGCGTGGCGGGTTGTCGTTGACGTCCGCCACCCGCACCGACACGAGCGCGCGCGACGACAGGCGCACGCGCTCCCCGCGGTCCGTCGCCACCACCTCCAGCCGCCACTCGGCCTGCACCGGGCACGCCGCGGGGCGCGGGGAGTGAGCGCCCAATTCTCGCCGGCACGGTGGGAGAGACCGAGCCCCATCACCGATAGCCGCCTAAACGATCTCGCACGGTGAGGACGCGGCCCTTTACCCAACGCTTAATTTTCCCAGATCTGAATACACGCAGAATGATCGATGGGTTGTGAGAATAGGCCTAACTCAGCGCTCTGCCGCAGCTCTTCTGTGCCATGCGTCAGAGATATTCTCGGAAACACTCGGCTGGCAGAAAGGGCAAACCAGCAGCGAACGAATTAGTCTGTCGTCCTCGCTCCAGCGTCAACAAAACGAGAGCCAATTTGTGGCACGTCAACAGTGTGTGCTACAGAGAGACGACTGGCACCGTCACAGGAATGCCGAAATATCCAGCGCCGGCTTTGGGCTGCCAATGAAGAAGGGCACCACCCGCTCGATCTAGACTTGACTACAAATGCACATTTGAAAGCGCTTCGCCGATTCTGAGCCTCTTGACGCAGCGTGCCACCGAAGCACAGGGGAGAGGCTTGCGATGCGTTGTGGCGCTGCAAACTCAGTTCTTTAGAAATGGAGGCGCACGGTGAGATGAACTGTGGCCGACTCGTGTCGTTCTTTAGAAACGAGTTTGTGTTTGATTTGTTGTCTGTCCCCTGCACCTCCGATTAGCACGGTTGGCTACGTACGGCGAGAAAGAAGTTCAACATACACACATGCATGCAAAGTCTTGAGCATGCGACCAATATTATCCATGAGAGGTTTCTGCGTTAGATCACGTAACGCGTAACGTGATCTAACCCAGAAACCTGTTACGGATATTAAAGATATTAAAGACGTCTCCTCGCCGCACGACTCCAACAACACAGGGGAAGCTAACGGCGATTAAACTGTCAACGAACGCATCTGCCGTGCGACACAACCGCTCTCCTGCGGAGAGGCGCAACGGCCGTTGTTGAGGCCAAGCCCGGGGCCCGGGGGGTCACGGGGGTCACGGGGGTCACGGGGTCCGCCCAAGGGCGTTACCTGCGCCTCACAGTCGAGGGGCCGCAGGGCGGTGAGCCAGCCTGTGTGAGCGTCGAGCGCGAACGTGTCGGCCACGTCGTCCATGGGCCCCGCGGCCTCGCCCAGCGAGTAGGACACCTGGCCGTTGGGGCCCGAGTCGGCGTCGCGAGCGCGCACGCGCAGCACGCGAGTCCCGGCTGGCAGGTTCTCCATGACGAACGCCTCGTACGCCGCCGACTCGAAAGCCGGCGCATTGTCGTTGACGTCCTTCACCTGAACGCTGACCTGCGAGAGGGGGAGAAGGGGGGGGAAGGTCGCGTTATTCGCTCTGCGGCGCAGCACGGCGGAAGGGGACCAGGCTACGGGTGACCGATTCCCTCATCCGTTCGCCACCTCACGACGTATAGGTAAGGGGGAGAGAGAGAGGCTGTGGATTTTGAGCAGTCAACAAGTGGGAAAAATTGTAAAAGCTTTGTCTTGTAAATAATAAGACCCAGATGATGTCGCCTGGGCACAACAAGAGCGGAACTTCAATTGTCCCGATGCGGAAAGCGCTAAATTAACTGCTTTTGCCGTAAAAAAAACTTTGGACAACAGCAAGTGGTCCGGGGTTCTCCGACTCCCGGCAGGGTTTCATGTGGCGTGTGTGTGAAGGTGTCACTGCCGTGTGGGCAGGAACCGGCACTACGTCCAGCATGACTCTTAAAAACAGGAACATTACTCTTACTTATTTAACGTCAGCATTACTTTATCAAGTATGTTTTGGCATGTATCCCTACTGTACCTTCAGATGCAATCACATTAAGACATCTTATAAATATGAGTTGTGTTGAATTGTATCTTTAAAATATATATTTCCCCATTGCAGCCCGAGTGACAGATTCACCTTTTGACAATTTCAGACAGGGTTCCAATAACCGCTTTCACAAGCTCGTTTTCGGTGTTTGCGCTGACATCACCGCTTTCCCACCTCCCACCTGCGCCCACGATGCCGACAGGCACGCCGTGCGAGCGCCGGCACGCCCGCAACCTCGCGCCAGCGCCGTCCCGCCCACCTGAACCACGGCGACGGCGTCGTGCTCCCCGTCCGAGCGAGAGGCGGCGACGCTGAACTGCAGCCACCTGGCGGCCTCGTGGTCCAGCTGCCTCTCCAGCTTGAGACGCCCCGTGGCCGCGTCGACGCCAAACGGGGCGCCGTCGCCGCCGCCGCCATCGCTCGCGGCCCACACGAGGCTGTAGGCCACGCGCTCGGGACCCACGACCCCGACGGCCTCCAGCTCGGTGCCTGGCGCCGCGTCCTCGGCCACCGAGAAGGAGTAGTAGGACTCGGCGAAGCGGGGGATGGCGACGTCGGGGGGCAGCACTTCCACGTAGACCGGCACGAGCGAGCGGAGCGAGGGCTGCCCGCCGTCCTGCGCCAGCACGAAGAACGAGAGGCGGGTCCCCTCCAGGCCCACCAGGCTGTCGGAAGAGCTGATGGCACCGCTCTCCGGGTCGATCCGCAGGGCCTCCTCCGCGCCGCCCGAGTCCTCGCCGTAGATGGAGAACGCCACGTCGGCGTTGCTCCCCTCGTCGGCGTCCGTCGCCACGACCTGGGCCACGAAGGTGCCCTCCCTCGCATCGGCCGGGACGGCGGCCTTGTACTCGGCGGCGTGGAAGCGCGGAGCGTTGTCGTTGACGTCGGTGAGGATCACCTTGACGACGCAGAAGGCCACCCGCCCGCCGCCGTCCACGGCCATGACGTTGATCTCGATGACCCTCTCCGGAAGGTTCTCGCGGTCGAGGCTCTCCGTCGTCACGACGAGGCCGTCGGCCCCCACGCTGAACCTGCTCCCCGCGAAGTCGTTGACGATGGAGTAGCTCACCTTGCCGTAGTCGCCGGCATCCCGGTCGGTGGCCGACGCCACGGCGACCGCGGTGCCGACCGGAGAGTTTTCCGCCAGCTCCACCTCGTACGCGTGCCGCTCGAAGACGGGCCCGTGCAGGTTCTCGCCCGCGACGGCGACGCGCACGCGGACCGCGGCCGCGTGGACTCCGTCCGACGCGGTCACGTTCAGGACGTGGACGGCGTCCGCTCGCAGCTTGCCAGGCGCCGACACGGAGATGACGCCGGAGCGGGCGTCGACGGCGAAGCAGCCGAGCTCGTTCCCCGAGAGGATGCCGTAGGCGAGGCGCTCCCCGTCGGAGGCGTCGGCGTCCAGGGCGAGCACGCGCGTAACCGGGTGGCCGCGCGGCACCAGCTCGCCGACCGTCGCCTCGTACAGGCCCCGCGCGAACGCCGGGGCGTTGTCGTTGAAGTCGGCGACGGCGACCGTGACGGGGACGTCGACGGCGAGCGCGGGGACGCCGCCGTCCACGGCCCGCACCGCGAAGCGCAGCTCCGCCACGAGCTCGCGGTCCAGCTGGCGCGACGTGAGCACCGCGCCGCCGCTTGGGTCCACGTGGAAGTATTCCGTGGCACGGTCGGGGTCGTCCACGATCTGGTACGAGACGACCCGGTTGGTGCCCGAGTCGGCGTCGGCCGCGGAGACGGTGAACGCCAGCGTGCCGACGGGCGTCGCCTCGGACAGCACGACCTCGTACGAGTCGAGCGCGAAAGCGGGCGCGTTGTCGTTCGCGTCCTCCACCAGCACGTCCACCGTCGCGTCGGCGTGGGCGCCCGTCAGCGAGTCGGTGGCACGCACCGCCAGCCGGTAGGCGGGCCGCGTCTCGTAGTCCAGCGGCTCCGCCGTGCTCAGGACGCCGGTATCGAAGTCCACGGAGAAGTGGCCCAGCCGGTCGCCGTCGGTTATGCAGTAGACGAGGCGGAAGCCGTCGGGGCTGCTGGCCTGCACGCCGAGCAGCGGCGTGCGGGGCGGGGCGCTCTCCGACACGCTCACGCGGTAGAACGGCCTCTCGAACGTCGGCATCGCCTCGTTCGCGACGCGCACGGCCACCTCGACGTCCGTCCACAGGGGAGGGCTGCCCCCGTCTTGCGCGCGCACGACGAGGGCGAACTCCTCCTCGTGGGACCCTTCGGGCGAGAACGCCTCCCTCAGCCGGACGTCCCCGGTCACCTCGTCGACGTCGAAGCGCCCGAAGTCGTCGCGCAGGGCGTACCGCACCTCGCCGTTGGGGCCCGCGTCCCCGTCGACGGCGGTCACCCGCCGCACCGCCGCCCCCGGCTCGGCGTCCACCCGCACCGCCGCGTAGTACGGCAGCCCCACGAACGCGGGGGCGTTGTCGTTGACGTCGAGGACGCGGACGCGCACGACGGCGCGGGCGACGCGCGGCGGCGAGCGCTCGTCGCGCGCCTCCACCACCAGCTCGTGCCGCTCGCGCTCCTCGCGGTCGAGGGGCGCGGCGGCGCGGCTGCGCAGGGCGCCCGAGGTGCGGCCCACCTCGAACAGGCCCCGGGGGTTGAGCAGGCGGTAGAACACCGGCTCGTTCAGACGGTTGCCCGTGACCGTCACCAGGGCCACCAGCTGCGCCTCCGTCGTGTTCTCCGTCACCAGGCCGTTGTAGACTTCGCGCGTGAAGGACAGGCCGCTCGGCTTGCTCTCGGCCGTGGATATCTTCACCGTGGCGGAGGACGAGAACTTCCCGTCCGTCACGCGCACGGTCAGGTCGTAGAACCTCTCGAGCGCCGTGAGGTTTTGCACCGTGACGACGCCGCTCCTCGGGTCTACGGCGAACTTCTGTGCCGCGTTTCCGCCGGCGATGAAGTAAGCGAGGTCGGCGTTGGGCGAGGTGTCGGCGTCCACGGCGGACACGGTCAGCACCTCCACGCCGCGGTACGCGGGCAGCAGCAGCGTGGCGTCGTACACGGGGCTCGTGAACTCGGGCGGGGAGTCGTTGACGTCCACCAGCAGCACCGTGACGAGGGCGGGCGTCTCGGCGTGCAGCGGGGGGCTCCCGCCGTCGCGCACCTGCACCGAGAAGGCGAAGGCGTGCGTCTCCTCTCGGTCGAGGGCGCGGGCCGTGCGCACCGCCCCCGTGCTGGCGTCCACGGCGAAGTAGCGGCGCGCCGCGGGCTCCACGATGCGGAACGAGAGCAGCGCGTTGCGGCCGGCGTCGCCGTCGGCGGCGCGCACCACGAGCGGCGCGCCCGTCTCGTCGAGAACCGCGCTGCCGGGCGGCGCGTCCTCCGCCACCAGGCCGCCGTAGCTCGGGCGAGCGAACGTCGGCCGCCGGTCGTTCTCGTCCCTCACGTGCACCGACACCGAGGCGTTGGCCGCCGCGCCCGCCATGTCGGCGGCCCGCACGACGAGGAGGTAGGAGGGCCGCGCGGCGTGGCTCAGGGCGCGGCGCGTGAACACCGCGCCCGAGTTGGGGTTCACCTCGAACGCGTCCCCGAAGTTGCCGTCGCGAATCTCGTAGACGACCGACGAGTGGCCCGAGGCCGACACCACGGCGACGAGCGTGCCGGGCGGGGCCGCCTCGCCCACCTCGCCGGCGTAGACGGGTCGCGTGAAGCGCGGCGGCGCGTTGCTCGCCACGGTCACCGCGATCTCCACGTCGGCCGTGGAGCCGAGCGGCCCCTCGCCGTTGTCCGTGGCGCGCACGACCAGGCGGTAGCGGGCGAGGCGTGCGCGGTCCAGCTCCCGTGCCACCGACACGATGCCCAGTGCGGGGTCCATGCTGAAGGCGCCGCCAGTGTTCCCTGCAGACAGGAAGACAAAACCCGTCGCTGCTTGCCGCCTGTCGAGCTTCCGGGCACAGGGGCCTCGATGACGGTGTCAAGGTGGCAGTGGTGGTGGTGAGGAAGCGGTGGCCATATGGAGGCGGTGAGTTGGTGGTGGCGGCGAGTTGGTGGTGAGTTGGTGGTGGCGGTGAGTTGGTGGTGAGTTGGTGGTGGCGGTGAGTTGGTGATGGCGGTGAGTTGGTGGTGGTGAGTTGGTGGTGAGTTGGTGGTGGCGGTGAGTTGGTGGTGGTGGTGAGTTGGTGGTGAGTTGGTGGTGGCGGTGAGTTGGTGGTGGTGGTGAGTTGGTGATGGCGGTGAGTTGGTGGTGGCGGTGACAGGACGGCAGTGAGGAGGTGGTGGCGTTGAGGAGGACGGTGAGTCCTCGCTGCGCTCACCGGATTCGATGGCGTACGAGAGGCGAGCGTTGTCGCCCGTGTCGCGGTCGCGCGCTGTGACCTGCAACACGGCGGAGCCGGGCAGCGCCGACTCGAACACGCGGCCCTGGTAGGTGCGCAGCGTGAACTCGGGCGCGTGGTCGTTGGCGTCCAGCACGGTGATGAGCACGCGCGCCAGGCTGCGCTTGGTCTGGACGTCCTGGTCGCGCACCTGCACAGCCGGAGTGGCGTCACGGTCAGCGCTCCTTTGTTGGATAAAAACACCTTAACATATGAATGCATTGGGGGTATAACCGGTGGTGCGTGGGAGTATAAAAAAATAGCCCACAAATTTTCCGTGTTAACTTTTGTTATTTTCCCCACGATTCGCGACCCCCGGTCGAAAAGTCTTGCGGGATACGCGTCAAAATCAGTTCTCGTGATGTCGTTAGCAGTCGGAAGACGAATGTCAGTTAAAGATTTTTTTTTACCGTTTTACAAGGACCGGTATGTTATGCTGCACTGGTGTACCGCCAATACGTCCATACACAGAATCGCAGACCTTGGCCAATTGCTGGCACATGGTCTACCGTCTGCCTGCATGCCTTCCCGCTCGTCTGTGGTTTCCCTCTTTGTCGTGCGGCGCGTAACGAGTCTAAATTATTATTCACTATTATCCACGCGTACACACAGGGCACACCACATCTGTCTCTCACCGCCCATTCGGTGCGCAGGGCCATGAGGAAGCGGCCAAGTCCTGTTCACAGGAGCTCACAGGACACGTGGTGGTAAGGTGCACCGCTCTCACGGGGAAACACGTGCAAGTGGTTTGGGGTTTATCGCACTTCACCACACGCAGGTGCGTGTACACGTAGATTCCCCGTGCATCCCATTGCCAAGACTGCCAAAGTTTGTACCGCCGGAGAATGCTACTAATTGAGGATGATGCGTTCCGTGTGTCAACATTGACTCGAGTCGTCTTGAGTCAACATCAAGTCCTGGCGTCTGTCACACTGAACCGGGCTCTGTACGAGTACAGACAAGCAGCCTTGTTCTCCACCATTGTAAATCTGATCACCCCTTGGGGTAGCGCGGCCTCCCCCGGCCGCCCTCACCATGACGGTGAGCGTGTGCCGGTGCTGGCTCTCGTGGTCGAGCGGCTCGGCCGTGTACAGCACGCCCGTGGCCGGGTCGAGGCGGAAGAGGCGGGCGCTGGCGGGCTCCGCGCTGCCGTAGAGCGTGTAGATGAGGCGGTCCTTCTCGTCGCCGTCCGACGCCGACACGCGCGCCACCTCCGTGTTGGGCGGCACGTCCTCACGCACGCTCGCCTTGTACAGAGGCCTGGAGAACTCGGGCCGGTGGTCGTTGACGTCGATCACTTTGATGTGGATCTGAGGGCGAGGGCGAGGGCGGCGCGAGCCGGTGAGCCGTTGCCGCGCGCACGAGACTCCGTGCAGCGTGGCAACATCGCCCCCTGCCGCGAAAAAACCTGGACCCTCCTGACCAAGAGTCTCGGGGACCCGGCGAGCGGACAAGCGAGCGTGATGACAACGATAAAATGCATTTCCGTAAAAACCCGCACCCCCGTGGCCGTCGCGACGGGCCCTGTGCAGTGCGGCCCACCTGCGTGACGAGGGTGCGCGTCCCATCCGTCACTTCCACCGTCAAGTTGTAGTGCGACTTCTGCTCGGCGTCCAGCGGCTTCGCCACCACCAGGGTCCCCGTGCCGCGTTCCACGTCAAAGCGGCTGTCCACGTTCCCGCCTGGGCACAAGCGCGAGGCGGCACGGCGCACGCCTCCTCTTACCGCGGGCACTGGATCGCGTTGGCAGTGGCGGCGGCGGCGGCAGCGGCATCGCGATTTCGCACTCTTGACGGAACAGAGCCGGCCCGCGTGCGCATAACTCAGCAGCACACTCGTTCCTTGCGCACAAAGCTGCACACAGCTTGTATATTGGTCTACAATGGCTTACACACACTATAAACTCTGGATGATATTTGTTATTTTACCAGCAAAGGGCGACTGAGCTATATAGCTCTTCAGAAGCAACCTGACCACAAATGATAGCTCAACAAAGTGGCTCATCGTGTGTAAATTGATAGCAGGCAAATGCTTTAAACGCGTGATGTTGATTCTAAATGGGTAGGGAAAAACCGGAGAAAAATCCACGCAGCCACGGGGAGAACATGCAAACTCCAAATATACAGGCTTCAGGGTCGGGATCGAATCCACCACCTCCTGTATGCTAGGCGAGGTAATTAACATCTCGCCACACAGAGCGCACTACCAACAAACACACAACATGCGCTAACGGTCAGGGCTGGGACTCCCATGTCGTACCATGACATCGTTGATAAAAAACAAAAAATATTACCGATAACCGACGTCAACTCACTCTTGGAAACGTGGCACACTTGATGAAAAAAAAAAAACTCAAATCCGTAACAAATCAGATGTAAAAGTAGAACAACATCAGCTCCCAGCCCGGCCACAGCCGCTTTCTCACAAGGCTCCAGCGTTGGGGCGCGGAGTTCCCCCACACTCCACGGTAAACGCGGGAAGAGCCGCACCCTTACGTCTTAGCGCTCCCGCCACGCGCACGGGTACCTTGCGTGAGCCACGCACGAGTGGCAACAGGACAAGTGGACAATATGGAAGAGCTCTCTGGCCCGGTGGTGACCCCATGTTAGCGGTCCGTGACATTCAGCGAGAGGCCGGGAGGGGGCAGCGTAGAGCCAGCGGAGGGAGGAGCGTGGAAAGCGGTAAGTGACCGGGTGAGATGCGCAGGGGAAAGCCGTGTGTGGGTCGTGGGGTTATTTGACCATACTTCGCCGTGCTGGTGAGAGCCAGTTGACGATGGCGATGGGCGTAAACGTGGGAGGGGTGTAACGGTGGATTCTGCTGCACTGTGTCCTGCCTACAGCATCCCGTGTGTGCTTGGTGGTGGTCACCCATTCAAGTGCTGGCCAGGCACAACCGTGCCGAGCTTCCCGGATCTGATGCGATCAGGCCCGGTCCTTGTTGATTTGTCGTAGGCCAGACACACGAGCACTCGGGGAGAAATTCAGCCTTGCACTACCTCAGCCTGCTGCTGTTGACTCATCTCTTGATTATAAACAAATACGCGGACTCATTCTGCATTCCGTACAAAGGCATTTCGTCGCACGTTCCCATGACCGATTGCATTGGGCTGGGCTACAGCTGGGCCAGATCCCACCTCTCCCCTTGTTTAGTTCACACCGTCGACCGCGTGGCCTGTGCAGGGCTCTCGAGTCTCGCACATCTCGGGTATTCACGATGCAATCCCCCCAGATTGAGGGGCTCGGAAATACGCTCACAATGGTGCCATCTCCCACACCCACGCATGTGAAACACCAGTTGACAACAGCCGCACCCCCGCCGCTGGCAGCCGACCAATCGGATCCATGAGACAGAGACCCCCCCCACCCCCCTGGAGTCTGCTGAACAAACTCACGCCCAGACAAACGCCCAACAGTGCCTTCCGAGCTCCACATTCCTACCCCTCCCCCCCAAGTCCCCTACCCCCCAAGTCCCCCCCAAGTCCCCTACCCCCCCAAGTCTCCTACCCCCAAGTCCCCAACTCCCCAAGTCCCCTACCCCCCAAGTCCCCTACCCCCCAAGTCCCCTACCTCCCAGCTCCCCTACCCCCAAAGTCTCCTACCCCCCAAGTCCCCTACCCCCCAAGTCCCCTACCTCCCAGCTCCCCTACCCCCCAAGTCCCCTACCCCCCAAGTCCCCTACCTCCCAGCTCCCCTACCCCCCAAGTCTCCTACCCCCCAAGTCCCCTACCCCCCAAGTCCCCTACCTCCCAGCTCCCCTACCCCCCAAGTCCCCTACCCCCCAAGTCCCCTACCTCCCAGCTCCCCTACCCCCCAAGTCTCCTACCCCCCAAGTCCCCTACCTCCCAGCTCCCCTACCTCCCCATCTCGCCTACCCCCGCTCCCCTACCCCTGCTACCCCACTACTCTCCCGACCCCCCCCCATCTACCCCACAACTTTCCTCCCTGCCCCCCACCAGCCATGGCATGTCCTGCCCACGCCCTTTGAATGATGTCATTAACAATAAAAACATAATTAGAGATTTTAATAACTAGCTTTTTCTATTGTTTCAACTCATCTGAGAAAACATTATATACATAAAATTGTAACCAATTAAACTAATTTTTCTTTGTATCCTGCATTTATTTCCCCAAAGTCTCCATTGCTAAGGGGGGACATTGGCTCTCAATCACTGGGTCATCACAAAGGGCTCCGATCACGAGAAGCGCCGTCGCCCCGGCAGGCCGGAGACAAAGCGAGGACGGCCGCACGCCTCTCATCTTTTACAATCCCGACACTTCTCGGAATCTCGACGTTCCCAGGTGGCTCGTGCCCCAGCGAGCGACAACTTGAAGAGAAGCACGGTTTAACTAAACATTTTGGCAAAGGCGACAAACGCAGCTGCCTGGTGGCGTCGTCGGAGAGGGCTGTCCCCCCTCCTCGCTCCGGCTCACCGCTGCTCCTTTCTCTCACTGCCCTCCCGCCACCTCACTCAACGGTGTCTGGATGTATGTACAGCATGTCGCTTAACCTTTTTTCGCACCGTATGTAACCAACCGTGCTAATCGGAGGTGCGGGGGTAGGACAACAAACTAAACAGAAAAAAGCAGTTTGAAAGAAATGAGTTTTCAATCGCCTTGCCACAATCGGTCTGATTAGGATCGCTTAGTGATCCTTTTAGTTTTTCTTACCAAAGAGGACTATTTAAATTAAAGTGCGGCAGTACAATGTTTGAGCTATTCATACTTTTAAGAAGCAAATTATGAGTGCTGTTAATTGCGCTGCTAATTCAGCGAGTCGTACAGGCAATGCACAGGAGTGTTGTGTTTTAAACGTTTGGGTTATTTTCTTGTGGGCAAGACCCACAGAAGCATGGTACCGCCGGCTCCACCACCCCCACAGGGGCTCTCAGCACGTTGGTGTCACGCATAACAGCCCGCATCCACAGGTGATCCACCAACCCCACAAAAACATCGCCACACCGAGGTGCGCAACAGCAGTAACGGACACTGCTGTCGGCGAGCATACGTATGCACGCTGAACTTCTTTCGTAGCGTACGTAGCCAACCGTGCTCATCGGAGGCTGGGGCGACGGATCTTCCGGTCTCGCCGCCGTGCGGAGGAGCTCACCGAGGATGGCGAACCAGAGCGGCACGTCCTGGGGCTGCGCGGACACGATGCCGACCATGTGGTTCACCGCGTCGCTCTCCAGCACCGTGAAGCTGAAGACGGGCTCGTCGAATCTCAGCGGCTCGCTGGACGCTCGCGGCACCATCACCCACTCCATGTGGACGCGCGCACGAGCCACCTGCTGGGGCCGCCCGTTGTCCACCGCCTTCACCTGCGGGGGTATGGCACGAGCGGCACGGTCACGAGCGGCGGAGGGGAACCGGCCTCTGGCAGCAGCAGCAGCAGCAGCAGGAGCGCGGCAAGCGATGGCTTCTCCACGCCCATCGGACTCATGCCCCCACTCCGAGCTGAACGAAGCAGCGTAATGTCCAGCAGCGTGCGGTTTTTACTTAGCCGGGGCCTCGGCTCGCCGCCGGGACGCGGAGACCGGTCACTGGTTGCACGAGCAGTGATCGCGCTGAGAAAACACGGCTAAATTATCGGTGGGGAGCGGTGGTGTAGCGGTTAGCGCGCTGCTCCACGAACCCGGCGACCTGAGTTCGATTCCAGCTCACGGCCAACACATTATCTGAACTGGTCCTCGGCCTCCCCTAGGTCGACTCAGCCTCAAATGAGTAACTGGTTTGGTGTGTAAACATCGTCACTGGAGAGACAAAGGCAGCTGGGCGTGGTGCTGGCCACCCACCCCCTCGTGTACCGTGCCGGCCTTCGTAGGTGCCCGCTAACAGCACTTTCCCCAAAAGTCCCTGAAGGCTACACGGGGGATCTTTGTGTGCGCTTGTGCGTGTGTCCGGGCGGGGCCCGCACCCCCCTCGCTCGTTGTCATCTTTGGTCTTTGCGCGGGAATAGTGGTGCAGCGGTTAGCACACTGCATTATAATCCGAGTGACCTGGGTTTCAACTCCTGAAACAATACAGTGCGAGCGGCAAATAGAATCAAGAGCCTGGCCTTGGCTTCCCCCGTGGGCAACTCAGCCTGAACTCGACGTCCAGCGTGAACATTCGCACTGGGCAGACAAAGGTGGCCCAACCCCCCCCCCCCCCCCTGCAGGACGCCAGCGTTCCCCCCCTCTGCCGCCAGCAGCGCTCCGGACGGCGGAGCCTCCCCAGGTCATTACCCCCGGCTTCTCACCGTGAGAATCTCGTGGCTGCCGGCCTGGAAGGGGTGCGCCGTGGAGATGACCCCGGTGGTGGGGTCGATGAAGAAGCGGCCGCCCTCGTTGCCGCCCTCGATGTAGTAGGAGAGGTCGGCGTTGGGGCCCTCGTCGGCGTCCGAGGCGAACACGCGGTACACGGGCTCGCGGCGCCGGCTGCGCTCGCGCTCGGGAAGGCGCGTGCGGTACACGCGCTGCGAGAACGCCGGGCGGTTGTCATTCTCGTCGAGGACGCGCACCGCCACGCGCGCCGACGACGAGCGGGGGGACGGGCCCTGGTCCGACACCGTCACCTGCCGACACGAGCACACACACACACACAAGGAAAAAGACCAGCTTGTAGCCTTAACGGACTGTTGGGGCAAGCGTAGTTAGCAAGCACCTATGAAGGCTGGCACGGCACATGAGGGGGTGGGTGGCCACACACACCGCACCAGGTACTTATTTGAGGCCGAGTCGACCTAGGGGAGGCCCAGGACTGGTTCAAATAATCGTCAGTGGCGTTGGCCGTGAGCGGGAATTGAACCCGGGTTGCCGGGTTCGTAGCGCAGCGCGCCAACTGCTGCACTATCGCACACAACAACCGCCATTCGCCACTAAGCGGCGGTGACATCACCACGGTGCTTGTGCCAGGCTAGGCACACATACACGTTCACGCACACACACACACGTTTGGCCACAAAAGTGCACGCAGAAACAGGTAGGAGACCGGTTGGATTCGTAAAGCGTGTCCCAATGCAATCGCATCTCAAGGTCCCGTGCAAATAGGGGGGGGGGGCGTTATTATTCAGCTGTTATTATTGTTATTATTCAGATCATTTGAGATTGGAGGGAGTAACACATTACAAGCAAGCGTACACGCGTGTGCAAAACCAAGCGTGTGCGCAATCATGTTAGCGCATGCACGCGCACAGCCAATCGCACACACGCATGCACCATCAACGCTCGCGGCTGTTATACTTGGGGCGAGCTACGGTGGCGGTGCGGTAAGAAACGGGGAGTGGCGCGATGCGACTGGGCGGCAGGCGGAGTGTGGGGCGATCGAACCTCCATGACGTGCTCGGCCTGCTGCTCCCGGTCCAATTTGCGTGCGGTGGTGGAGATGAGACCTGGGAGGCGACACGGAGCAGCAGCGGCAGCGCACGCGGCGGATTACACGCCGTTCACCTCGACGCAGACACGGCGACTCCCTGCTAGTCTACCTGGGGGCACCGTTGCACGGCTCGCGCCTTGGAGGTGTGGTACACAAGCGACAGGCGGAGCTGGCTTACGACATTGTCGGCGTCGCAGTCGTTACCATCCTTTATTTAACCAGGAGACAAAATCAACACGTCGAGACGCGACAAACAGCACCGCTTACTTTGCAAAGACGGCGCCACCTGGGAATACGTGAGAGCGAGCAGGCGACAGAGCAGAGGCAGCACAGCCAACATTCTGGGTACGAACGTGGGGAGCCATCACGATTAAACTTTGGCTCTCCATTGCAACAAGCGCAGTTTTTAGCTCGGCCACTCATTACGACACTAAATAAATAAAAATTACCGCTGCAATAAATAAGTGCACCAGATCACGACTTCGGCGTGGGGACCTCTTGACGGAGCGCGAGCGTGGGCCACCTGGTATTGGTAAGGCGAAGCACGGGCCACCGTGCGTGCCGGCATCTCCCCTGGGCCGGTGGCCGGGGGGGAACACGATGCCCCGGCTGACTCACACTCAGGCGGGCCAGCGCGGCTCTTCGCCAAAACGTCGAAATTGGGATGACGTCGTTTGTGAAATAAAATTGCTGTACAAATACAGGTGCAACACTACAACGTACGTGTATAATCTGTTGCACTTAAGGAGGTGTACGCTGCATATACAAAATCTGTTAAATATATTCGTTTACCAGCCTGAATTAAAGTTCGCTGCCGATGGTATTCTCGTCATTTAGAGATTTAAGCGAGCACGTTGCTCAGACCGCAGTGAAGTAATGACTGTTCTAGATTTGAAGCTTTTGTGACTGCAAGGATCCATGCTCTTTGGTTCTATTCGGTAAAGTCATCTGGCCCTGAAAAGGAATGGATACTCTGACCGTACCATCCGCCAAGCTGTTTCTCCCTCCATACAGAAACAACCACTTGATACTCCGATCAAAACCATCACACTGCCATATATAGCAGGCGTTACTAAAAAGATCTCCAAAATTCTAAACAAACACAAGATCCGGGTCCGGTTCAATACAGTACACAAAATCCGTGACCCGATCCCTTCCGTGAAGGATGTCATTCTTGACTTACAGTACCCCGGAGTTTACAGATTGATCTGCACCTGTGGTGACTTATATATCGGGGAGACGAAACGACATGTCTCTGACCGAATTCGCGAGCACAAATCAGATTTGAAACACGGCAGAACGAATTCTTCTGCCATAGCTGATCACTGTTTTAACGCTGTGGGTGATCACGATATAATTTTCTCCGATACCAAGGTTCTTTGCAAACCCACGGGTTTTTATCAGAGATTTGTTCATGAGGAAATTCAGATTTACAAACACAGACACAATTTCAACCGAGAAGATGGTTTCAAATTAAGCAACCATTGGAAAGATGTTCTAAATCGAACCAAACATTAAACTAATTTTCAATGGTACAGTATATTTTTTTCAAGTAGTGGTATCCCAAACTTTCGCAGTTGCTTAAATTCCCTTTTCACATCATCAATATGTAAACTCCCCCTCCCCCCCTCGCCGGTCTGCACATGTTCACCCCCTCTACACCGTTCATCATGCTCAGTCCGCCAATTAAATGCTATTTTTTATGATAATTCCTTTGTCAAGGCGCTCTGCTTCCTCTCACACAGCTTAAAGGTCGCGGTCTGAGCTTGGCTGTGTTCACTCCAGCGCTGTCCTCGAGACAGTCTGGTCCCTTCACCTGATGAAGGCCACTTGTGCTGTGGCCGAAACGTCGTGAATTTTTTATTTTTATTTTTTATTGTTTTATACTTTTACGTGACTTTACCGAATATAACCAAAGAGTAAGTAATGACTGTGTTAATCGCTACATCACTGTCCGTACAACTCCAAGGTAAGCGTGCAAACACACGCACTTCCTCCATGTGCCTTGGCACATCAAAGCCCTTTGACACAACAAGCTTTCACATCAATCAAAACGGGTGCAGCATTACAGCCTACTGTTTAATCAAGCCGACCGGGCATGTACCAATACTCAACGATGACAAAGGCCGCTGCTATGAAATGCACATCCCATGAGGTGCCGTGTGCATTCCTTTCCTTGAATTTCAACATTCACGCATCCAGGGGTCACATCTCAGGATGTGGCGCCTCTCTGCCCGGCTCTCGAGTTCTCGTTTTTCCCGGCCGTGGCTCCCTTCTTGGGGCCACGGGTATCACCTCGAGTGCCGGGACCACATCTCTGCCGTCTGCCGGACGTGGAGACACGCGGCTGCAATCAAGCGCTCCCGGAGGGGGAAGGGTCAGCGCATCTTGCAGATTCCATCGCGCAAGAGACGCTCTGAACACGTTTGCGCTTGTAGCCGTTTCCTCTGGGCATTCGGGCCTCCTGCCACCCACCAAAGCAGCCATTCGGGAAATATCCAAATCTCCCAATGCAGAAAGAAAATTGATTGCTGGTGAAAGCAGAACTTATTTCACGTGGAACTGAATTTTAGAAAGGGCCCCCCCCGCCACCCACAATTTGAGTTGTGCGATCATTTTGTGCGATCGCGTTTCCGAGGCTTGGAACACGTCCACGAGCACGCCACTCCCCGTCAGCCCCCATCGCGTTTCTGGCACAGGCATGCGGCAACGAGGCCGCGACGGCTCCTCCTGGGGCCCGCCGCCAAGGGTGGCGTCCGCAGGGTGCGCCGCGGCGCGCCTCAGCCCTGCCGCCTCCAAACAGGAAACATCGGAAGTTGTTGAATTCCGTTCCGAGCTTGCAGCGAGGAGCCCCGGAGCGCGACCTCAAACCCTCGGCTCTCGCAGCCAGAACGGGCAACACCGCCGGCCTTGATCTTCGCTCGACAACTCACGTTGTACCATTCGAGTGTCACAAGTAGAGCTTTGTGATTATTAATGAAACGCTTAGGCACTTCGTCGTTTGCCACCTCTGACGTGTTGAAAAATTGCGTTAAGATGGCATGAGGGGAATTGTCCTTTTTCAGATCAACAGGCGTAGAGAAAAAAAGGCAGCCTAAATAATGGACTTTTCGATTTAAAGCTTTCGTGACTGCAATGATTCATCTTCTTTGGTTCTTTCGGTAAAGTCACGTAGAATTATTCTCATTCTACGTGACTTTACCGAAAGAACCAAAGAAGATAAATAATGGACGCCGAGCCAACAACAACACTTCACAATGCGGTGCCTGGAAAAGATTCCTATTAATATCTTGAGATGGTTGTTGGTATATGAACCGGGCATCAATAATAACTCACGATATTGAGCCCCACGCGTTACTCTCGGAGCTGTGTTTGTGCCCGGATGCAGGCATCAGGCACTGGCTCATTGGCAGTGTGGTAAGAAGCCGAGGTATTTCAAGTGCCCTGGGCGAGTGGTGCAAATTCCACATTCCTTTGGCAGGGAATAAGATGGCTTTGACATACCGAGAGTGATTAGAGTAGAGTGAGAATGTAAGTGTATTTTAGCCAAGTGTTACCAACGTCCCTTTGTAAGTGTGTGCGCGTGTTTACCTCATGCCCAGCCACCGCATGCCTAACCAGCCTTTGTCCGGCCAGATAGAGGGGGCTAAACAGGCGCGGCACAGGCTGGAGAAAAGATGGAGTGATGTGGTACATGGGGATGTGGAGCTGAGTGGACTTGCCGATGACCGGTACCAGCGGTGTCAAGATTGGCCTCTGTGGAGGAGGCTCGTGAATGACGCTACTGGGCAGTTAGAGGCAGTCGCCCTCCAACAACAACGGAGGGCGGAGGAGCGAAGCTCACAACAACGAGCGGAGCGCCGGGTGGCTAAAGCACAGCAAGTTGGCACAGTAGGAGCCACAGGTGGCGCATCAGCCAGTCGCCTCAGTCAGTCGATCCGTGGCAACTGGGCCCTGCCCCGTGACCTCCTGCCTGCCAGCGGGCGTTCGACACTTCACGTGGCTACAAGGTGCACATAGCCTGGCACAAGCGCCGTAGTGGTTGTTGTTGTTACCTCTCTCTCCCTCTTCCCCGTGCCCCATTGGCTTAATTCCGGAGACAGTGATTCACCCTCCGTGGTGAAATCAGCCCGGCCACAAACGGAATGCAGTTGTTCCAGTGACACTTTCCAAAGGATTCTCCTTAAGCGAATATATATGTTTCAACGATGAAAAGCACATGAGTATTTTTTGGGAGGGAATATACAAGAGCATTTGTGCACCATCAGAGCAGTCAAATGTTCCACATCGTGCCGCTACACCACTGCAAGTGAAGTTCAACCACGTTACAATTTAACAGGTGCCACTAGCATCAGTCCAAGATGGTTTGTTCAAACAGACGCCACAAGAGGCGCCCATCCCCGCGCAGCTGCTCTGTCACGTCGACCGATCCAGATGCCGCTGCTTCCAGCTGCAGGCAAATGCACTCGACACCGGGTGCCCTCCCGTGTGCCACATCAGCCAACCTCTTCTCGAGCCGCACCTCTCGCTCCTTTAGAACCCCTCTATCTGGACAAAAAGAGCGCTGCTTTGCCACGCCCTGGCCGAAAATGAGGGCGACACGACCCAGTCGTCCATCATTGTCTGCCGAAGGTCCTCGTCATCTCCCTCTGTCTCGTGGCTTCAAAGCCACGGTGGAAATTACACATTCCCACCACAGTGGAGCCCAGCCGCCTCTCCGTAGGGCAACCATAACCCGAGTTGCTGGAGGGAGGATGGGCCGAGTTCACCTCCGACCGGGACCGGAAATTCAGAGATTTCAATTTTGCAGGACGAATGTTGCGCCGCGGCATTGCCCAGCTGGAAACCGTATTGACGGCAATGACTGGGTTATGAATCGTCATCGTCATCAACGGGCCGGTCCAAATCCATTAATTGCACCGGGCCGCCCACGACTCCCATGGCTCCGCGCACGGTCGGAGCATGCCAGCGGCGCGCGAGCGAGCTATGACGAAGGGGAAATGCCCCGCGGCACGTCCAGCGACACCGTCACGGCGCCGCTACCCGCCGAGTCTTCACGTGGATTCCTCGGCGATCCCTCGGCCGACGACGCCCAATCGCATGCCCCACAGCGCTCAGCTGCAGGACCCACGGTGGCTAGGAGATGTTGAATACCTCGCCTGGTAAACAGGTCGTGGGTTCGATCCCGACCCTGACGCCTGTATATTTGGAGTTTGCTTGTCTCTCTCTCCCAGTGGTCGTGTGGATTTTTCTACGGCTCCCCTGGCTGTCCCTCCAGATTATAATCAATGTGTGTTTAGAGTATTTGGCTGCGATACATTTTCATGATAAGCCACTTCGTTGAGCTATCATTTATGGCTAGGTGGCTTCTGAAAAGAGCTATATAGCTAAGTAGGCCTTATTTAGTCAAATAGAAATATTTTATGGTTTTAGTTTACAGTACCACCTCTCAAATGCTCTCAGGATTAGCCTCCATTAACACTCTCATCCTAGGCTAAGTCACCGAAATGCTTTGGCGATGCCACTGCAGTGCCGGGTGTCATCCGAGCTGGAGAGAGTTCACGAGGAAACCACGGAGTAAATGAAATCCCCTGGGGAATCAATGGGAAATCAGCTGCTCAGAAGCATGCAGCGCGCCACAAACAATTCTCCGGGATCCTGGCGAGTTACGAAAGGAGAGCCGCCGTGAGGCATCGTGCCACGGGCGTGCGGGATGGAGACGCCGCCTAGCGAGGCATGAACATCGGGGGACGCTGCAGGCGACAAACTGCCCTGGGCCTTGCCCCACTGGGTGCTCAGCTTCACTTGCCGACCGCTTATTCCTTCCGATATTTGTAAGCCGCTGGGAGCTATGTACTTTTAAATCGTCTCGATTGAAAACCAATTTCTTGGGAACTGCTTTTTATGTTACGTTTGTTGTCCTTCCACCGGCACCTCCGATAAGCACGGTTGGCTACGTATGGTGCGAAAGAAGCTCCACATACATAAAAAGTCTAGAGGGCGATATTAAAAACATCATGGACGTCTCCTCGCCGCACGACTCCAATGAAACTAACGGCGATGAAATTTTCCAGGAATGCATCCGCCATGCGCCATAACTGCTCTCCTACGGAGCGGCGGTCCGGCCGTCGTTGGGACTCCCGTGGCGTGGAGCCTCCCCCCACCGAGCGCCACGGCCGGGCCGTACCCTCGGGTCTCCGCGGAGAGGAGTCACTGCCACAGTGCACCTGCTCTTGCCCTTCAGTACAGCAACGTATTTATGAATGTGCTCTGTGTGTGTGTGTGACCCACACTATACAAGAGTGCTCTCTACCGACGACACAATCGGCCAGGGTCTGCGGACGTCCGCCGCCCCCTCCCTCTCTCTCTAGCGGGAGGTCTTGCGAGGGCAGGGGGTCGCGGAGGGCGAGTGGATGCGAACATCGCCCGCAATACCCGTTCTGCAGCTTTGCAGTTCTCCTCTCCCGAGAGAGTCTGGCAGGGGCTGTCACACCACACGCACGGAGCCGCCACAGGGCCCACTGCCGTGGGGGCTGTGGGGACGCACGCAAGCTCAAGTGCAGCCTGTGGCACCACGCACACAGAGGCGGCTGACACTTGGGGCCTGTGGGCTCTTCTCATTCGAGCTGACGAAACGTTTCGCCCCGCTGCTGGTCAGGATGCGGACGACGCAGCCGGTCTCCGTAAGCAGGCGTCGGTCTAACGTTGAGTCAGCCAGAGTGGCCCCCGTGCCTCGCATAGATCGCTCCAACACCCCCTGTGATAGGAGCGCAAGCTCTGAGTGACATATCGCCCTATAATAATAATAAAAGTTTACTAGAGAAAGACAGACCCATTGTACGGCGGTAATATAGAGTGTTATAGGCAAATTGACAAGAGACACAGTTATAGTGAAGAGGAGGGGGGGAGAGAATGTGGGTGGACGTGTCGCCATGAAGCTCCCACGCGGTGCCGGACAATCCGGACAAACCGGCACGCTATGCAATGCAGGAGACACACACGCCACTATTAGATGAAGGGCGACACACACGCTATGCGATGGAAGGAAACACACGCACGCATGTCGAACTTCTTTCACGCGACAGCGCCGACACCGCACAGCGCGTGCGGGTGCGGGCGGCGTGCCGAGCTCACCGGTGCGGGCGTCGATGGAGAAGAATCCCTGGGGGTTGCCGCTGGAGATGCGGAAGGAGAGCGGCGCGGCGCCGCCCGCGTCCGCGTCGCTGGCGCGGACCTGCAGCACGGCGAGGCCGGCGGGAGAGTTCTCGGGCACGGCGGGGCGGTACATGGGCTCCTCGGTGAGGGGCGCGCAGTCGTTGACGTCCTCCACCTCGACGAAGACGTGCAGCGTGGACGCGAGCGGCACAAGCGCGCGGTCCACGGCGAACACGGTGAGCCAGTAGCGCGACCGCGTCTCCGCGTCCAGCCGCTCTGCCGTGCGGATCACGCCTGCGAGACACACGGCATTCGCACGCGGGATTCTCAGACGCGGGTCTCCGCGCAAGGGCGACCACCACAGTTGCCTTCCCACAAAGCGGTTCTTGTTTTACATGGCCAGGAGTAACGATGTGTTCGGGTAGCCCGCCCCCCCCCCCCGCCCCCCGATTGGGATTGAAATTGACAAGCGTCAAGTGTTGTGGTTGCAGCAGCACCCGGCCACAATTGCTTAAGGAAAATGTGAACTGCTGGGAACTTGATATTCATGGTGTACTGCACCTCACCACAGGCAGTCAATCACTTATACTGCCACAATCCAAGTTTTATTCACAATAGCCTGATGTATAACGGTTCATTTAGTCAGCAAAACAACTTAAATGAGATGGTGTGCACTTGGCTGAACAGATTATCCAAAATGCATTACTTATTACAACCGACCAAGTTAACTTCACAAAAGACAGCAAACTATGAATTGAAAACACACAGCATGCGAATAAAAATGCGGTCGTTCTAAAGCTTAGCGCTGGGGTGAAAAACCGTCGGCAGCCTCCCCGCGCCGCCTCCTACGCCGCTCGATTCCCGGCACCCGGAGCCTGACTGCGGCTCACGCTCCCCCCGCTCGCTCGATTCACAAATCCTAGCGTACCCCCCTCTGCGGAACGGGCCCCACGGCACGTCAACAGCGGCCTGCCCCCCCCCCCCCCCCCCGAACGTGTCACCGACGGGGCCACGTACAATCAACTCCGCGGCTAATGGCGAATTCATCAATTAGGGAGAGAGTAAGCGGCGGCCGCTGAGATCGGCTCAACAGGAGGAGTGGACTGCACGAGGTCCCACGGCCGAGCGCACGCCACGGCCGCAGCTGAGCCACCGTCCACGTAAAACTGCGTGGGACGTCGGGGCAGATTTAGAGGAGCTCTCGTTTAAAACGGGGCCCCGGCCCGAGCCAAAGTAAACACGCCGCAAAGAAACCTCGCGTGTTGGTTTACATTTGCTCTGCTCTAAACTTTACTGCTAAATAGGCAACCGCCTGACCTCTGGCATTGACCTTTGGAAACAAATGTACACTCTTTGTTTTTCTTTTGCATTCAACGGCAAGCGAGTTAAACCCCATTACGATTCAGTTGCCACGGCCACCGAACGGAAGGATTCCGCCGCTATTGTGCCGGTCCGCACTTGCAACCCGGGCGTTACGAACACACACAGAGGCTGTCACACCAGCGTTTCCGCAGGCGGCAACCTCCCCCCCCCCCACCACGCCACCCCCAGGCTTCCACTCTGCGTTCATAATTATTTAGATCCCTTAATAAGCACGTGCGGCACAGGTTAATCATTACCTGCGACACACAACTCTACCCGGGCAGCACCTCAACCGTTTGTGCGCAAAGCCTTGAGATTTAATTTGGAATAGACACGGTATAGTTGACCCTCCCGTGAAAGTCAATCACTAGATTGCGTGCGGTTCGGGAAAAATAGCGGGTAACAGCCACCTGCGAAATCCTGACTGGCCACCGTTTCGGAGTGACAGGGCTCTGCCCCCTTCACCCCCCCCCCTTCCCCCCCCCCTCCCTCAGTCGGACGGTCGCACATCGCACGGATCGCAGTGATCAATCTCAAGCCGACGTGGATATTATACTCGAGTAGCACAAGTGCGGAAGGAATAACACAAAACGATATTCAAACTTTCCACCCGCCTGCCGACAGTAAACCCCAAGGCCCCTTCACTCTTAGCAGCGTGATTGACTGTCAGTGCGCCGTTCCCTGGATAACCGAGCGCCACCACAGAACCCGCCAGCTGCCCTTTGCCACCGCACGCAAGCGCCGGTCAACAGCTCTCTGCCACCCAGCGCAGCGCGAGCCTAATCCCAGTCCGATCTCGGCTCCGTTGAGGGAAAGCAAATCCGATCGAAACGTGAAGCCCTGCCGCTCGTGCGATCACAGCAGAAAGAAGTTCAATATACATACATACAGCGAGCACCTGGTGTGACATTCGAGGCCTTCCACACACATTTCCACGGTGACGATGAACCGTGTAAATTTCCATACAAACTCGATTAACGGCAGCCCCCTAAATCACGCTGTTTATGGCGCGACCCCCACGGCAAGGGAAGTCCACGCAAGCCCCAGCTGTCCTCCTTGGTGCTCAATCTCCTCGGCTTTTGGAGAAATTTATTGGTCGCTGGTAAAAGGTCAATATTTTTTTCCGTCCCCAGATTCCTAATTCGGTCATTGTGCACAGCCCCGCAGAAGCCGAGAGATGCAGAGCTGCGATTCATGGGCACAAATAAGTCAGAAAATGACAAACACCGGCCCTCAATTTGGAAGAATCCAAGTGAAGGAACACGAGGGCCACTGTTGGTCCAGTTTTAGGCGCACGTTAGATTTTGGTTTGTGGTAGCTCGTGTATCTTTAAAAGTTACGGGGGGGGGGGGGGGGGGGGGTGGAAGCAGCAAGTGACAAGCCAGCAAACCTGACCATTCAGCGAGGAGCCACCACTCCCGTGTTTAGCAGCATACAGAGCCAAATGTAAATAAAGCTCCACTCGTGATGTTTACACAGCATCCACACACACGCCATGGGCGACTATTACAACTACAGGCAAGGCCGGCATGAGCTACATTTGTCGACAGGCATCACCGTAAAGCACGAGGGAGCAAAGGGGAGCCTTGGCAGCACCGATAGCAAAGCTCACCATCAGACCTAGCTCCAGCTCCTCTAACATTGGGGAGCAAGATGTTAACTACCTCGCCTGGTATGCAGGAGGCCCTGGGTTCGATCCCGACCCTGACGCCTGCTTTATATTTGGGGTTTGCATGTTCTCTCTCCCCGCGCTCGTGTGAATTTTTCTCCGGGTCCTCCAGTTTTTCCCTCCACATTTTGAATCAACATGCGCTTAAGAGGATTCGGCTGCTATAAATCTACACAAAAGCCACTTTGTTGAGCCATCACTTGTGGAGGGTCTTGCCTGGTAAACAAAAACATGGTTTAGTTTGTTGGGGGGGCAAGGATAGTGATTCACCGCAAAGGGGAAGTGATCTTTGGGTGGTGCCAAAGGGACATTTGGTGGTGCAGGACCCCCAACCCCAGAACCCCACACGAGCACGGGCCTTGCTCCCCGAGGCCAGTCAAGATGAAGCGCGAATGCTCATGGGTAATCGTAAGAGAGACAAAACACCAACTTCACAGGGGTAGCACCGTCGTCTCCACAGGTAAGGGCCCACTAAGCTATATACAATGAGTCTCACTGTAACACGGCTTAGAATTGGCATCCCAAAAGCCCATCAATGAGACGAAGCGTGCCGAGCGAGCTGCCACCGAAGGCTGCAACGGAGCCAGGGCTGGAAGCCTGCACCTCCTCCTCCTCCTCCTCCGTGCCCCGGACCGACGGCTCGAGCAGGACACGGGGATGGCGTGAGCTGACGAGGCGCTCCACTCGCCACCTGCCCCGCGTTTGTTTCGACGTTAGACGAGACACAGCCTCGAGCGTGCATCGCAACTGCCGCTGGACTGCACGCCCATCAGACGGCCACTCACCCCGCACTCACCCCGCACCCCCACTCACCCTTGTAAACAGCACGGCTAAAGTGCCTTCAGCACAGGTAAGGGACCGGCAATATGTTGCACCAATTAGCGTCTACATTTCGACTGGTAGTACGGCAAGTTTAAAATAAACACACATTAAGCTGAGTTATTGGTCTAGATAAGGCCGAGAGCTTTCGCACATGCAGTGCACGTTTTTACGTGTCTTTAAATCCAGTTGTTTTCCAGCCTGAACTATTTTTTCTGATGAAATGGGTTTTCTCGTCATTCACAGAATTGAGTCACGAGCACGTTTTGGCAGATGCCTGAGGCAGTATGCTATGGATCATTCCGAATTGCAGCGGCAAATGGCTTTTGTAAGGTCCGCAAATATAGTACTTACAATCTCTTTGGAGTCAATTGGAGAGTAAATCTGACCCATTAATGCCAGAAGACGGTCATGGTAATTTCAGAAGAAGAGAGATGAGAATGCTGCAAAGGCCATAAACATGACACCAATTAGGCATCTGTGTCAAAGCCTGCCCCGTTAGGCAGCTGGTTTATTGGCTTATTTATTGCACGTCAAATGACATTACGTGTGGATTACAGCAAGCGCGGCCACATGTGTGGGAACAAATGATTGTGTGCTGGCGAAATCAATGTCTGAAAAACATCCGCAGGCGCGAGGCGCAATGCAGCGCGCCGTGAGTGAATGGGCGAGCAGCGCTCGCCGCGTAATCGGGCCGGCAGGAACACGATCCGGACAGCGCCTGGTCGGCGTGCTGCGGTTCGGGTTTGCCGTGAGGACGTCCCGGATTTAATGTCACTCGTGTTAACGCCGGATTTCGCGAGGCCGGGCGGCATCCTGCCGACCCATTTTTGGGAATTGGCGTCTACAGCAGCCGAGGGGTTGTCGGCAAACGGGCAAGAGGTGACGTTTTTAAGCTGGCGTAATTAAGTTAACTACGAGTCGAGACTGATGTTATTCAAGCAGCATCACCAGATAATGTTTCATTCTGGGCAGCTTGTAGGTTAGGTACAAAACCTTAGCCCTGAAGCTTTTGCCACTGCAATCAATGACATTCTATGCGAGTCATCAACCGTTCTGTCCTCAACTGGGACACGGTTCAGTTGCCATTTGTTTAGTCAGCGTCAGCGGTTGGTGAATGGAGACCCAAAATTCTACGTTCCAATCTAATGCAGCCGGATCCACGTGGCTTTGCCTTCTGATCTCAACCGTTGTTTCTCCGCACCAACAACCTCCAATGTGGCACCGAGTCAACGTGCGCTGCGTACGGACACGTTCACCAGCCAGGCTGAGCCAACGCCACCACCTCCAAAAGAACGATGCCAAGTCAAGTGCCATGAACTTTTGTCCGACATGAAATCCCGACACCACGGTATTGTATTTCTACTGTGTATAAACATTTTGAGCTCAGGGCCTGAAAATCGGATCCGTGCACAGCAATGTCACAACAGCCCATGGGAACACA